CCGGAGAGCGTCCGAGGCGACGCGGCGGCCGCCGACGGCGCGCAGCCCGGCCGCTGCCGACTGTCAGCAGCTGCACCGCACCCCGGCCGCACCCGCACCGCACGGACCTCGCTGGTGAGCGCCGCCCTCCGTCCGGCTCCGGCGTCACGCCCGGCAATGTGTGTGTGTGTGTGTGTGTGTGTGTGTGTGTGTGTGTGTGTGTGTGTGTGTGTTGTGTGTGTGTGTGTGTGTGTGTGTGTGTGTGTGTGTGTGTGTGTGTGTGTGTGTGTGTGTGTGTCCTCGGCGGCCGGGGGCCGAGCTGGTCTAGGCCGTTTGCGACCTAGACCGGCGACTTCCGATCTAGACCATCGTCGGGGACGATGAGCGCAACCGGGGCGCGTCGGCGAGTGGCGGAAATGCTGTCTATTCATTGGGCAGGATATTTTTGGCATGCGGTTGGCGGGGAATCAGGCTTTTTGGGGTTGCATGTGAAGAATTTGCACTAAGGCCACGTTTTAAGCGTTTTATGGAATGTGAGGTCCTCGTCCACTAGGTGAGTACACAGCGCAGCCTGTTAATGTAGAGCTAGCTGGGTTTGCAACAATGACACACCTGCATACGCCTAACGCGTGCATCACTGCATAGGAGGGATCCAGGGTCTTTTATGTGCCCAAAATATCTAGTACGCGCCGTAGGCTTGGCATGATGCTGGAAAATCAACGGATGTCCTGACCAGAAATGCAACTTTTCGCTGCCATCTCGACCCGCGGCCCACTCTGATTCACCCAATGGGGATCCAGTGCAAGAGTGCACGGACCACCATTCTGGTCGGAACCCAACCACATCGATTCATTTGTTGTGTGTATGGAGTGATGTACATGCTTAACCATTGCCATCACATAGAATGCGTATTGACTATATTATCCGCATTATTTAGTGTACACATAACAGGAGCACTGCAGAAGCTTAAACAGCAGCAAATTGTAACAAAGTTGCAATATCTGAAAAAGCAAGAACGAAAGGCTATTGTGTTTTTAAATGGTGATGCTTGTCTTAATGTGAAGCTATTAAACAAGCAGGGGGAGGAATAAGTGTACCAGAAAAAACAAGTGTACCCCTGTTCCCCGACCCATGAAACAGCAGGACCTAACAGTGGCTCCCGCCTATGATGTCTTTGCATGGAGTAAAAGGAGGAGGATGCTCAATATTTGCATGAGCATGTGGCGAGTCTTGACATTTCAGACAATCACAGTACATGCACAATATGATGTCCACTCCCAGGGCGCTGGCGGAATTTCGTATTATTATTATTGCTGGAATCCGTCCGGGTAAAATAAAGGACTTCGAGCAGTTTTGAAGTGCTAGGGTTGAAGCCCCATTGTGGCCTCCTACACGTGAGGGGAGCGCATCACACAGAGTTTTGTAACCATTCGGCTTTCATGTGGCCTTTTCTCCGTTTTTTCCCGGAAGTTCAGTCAGACTGCGTGTGCCATCAAAGTACACTTGTGTGCATGCAGTTTGTATAAAGTAAGCACGCCGCCGGAGAAGAAGGCCTTCGCAGCAAATGCAACGTGAATGAAAGTGAGTCAACATAGCAGAACATAATGTCTCGTGTTCGAGATGAACTGGATAGCCCATGTTCATTTTTCCTGGACAAACATGAAATACTGATGATGTAACACTAAACGCGTATGCTTATAGGAATAGGTGTGGCCACTACATCATGCTGAAACGACAGACTTGGGGTGAACATGACATGATAGAAATGTTCCAGAGTGGATTGGTTCCTAGCAGCCGAAAGATATCCTTTGCGTCGATGGGGTCGGCAAACGATCATGCCCCACGAGGGCGGAGTGGGAGAAGGCTCCGTCGCCTTTGTCCTCCGGAACCTATCGCCCAATTTGAACGATTTACATGGCATTGGAAAGCTCCTCAGAAGACGGTCCGGGGGCACTTTATTTTGATTTAACTTTATTTTGCTTTCATGTTGAAATAATAGGTCAAAGATGGGTCAAAAGTCAATATAGCTCTTTTCACATCATGGGTTATCGAGCCCACTTGTACAGCAAGACTTATTCTGCCAAACAGCACTCTTAAGCGGGGTTAGAGAATCGTGTAAGTTACATACCGATACCGAGTCAAGATCAAGGTCAAACCATAGCAGTTCATCACGAGGCCAATTCAGTTTCCTCATGAACGCACACCTTTGGACTATTTTTGCAAGCGTTATACAGTGTAAATGTTTTGAAATTTAGCTGAGATTGGGAGATGAGAGCTCCAGCATTCTAAATTTGAGAAGAAACTAGTGTCATGTCCTGGGAGAACCCCGCTTATTGTAATTTTCACTTCCACCCCCCTCCCCCTCCCACCATCTCTGTCCTAAACTCATTTTCCGCAACTACACTCTTGCCCTCAAGTCTGCATCTAGGTCACTTTCGAAACCAATGGCGGTTCTACCAAGGTCAAGCCGGAGACGTTCATCGTATGGAATAATGAAATCACTCATATAACATATGTTCCCAGATTATTTTTAGCAGCAGAATGCACTGTAATTGTTCTTCAGTGTGCATTCTGGTTAGGTTAGGTCAGGATAGGTTAGGTTAGGTTGTAGGTTAGGTTAGGTTAGGTTAGGTTAGGTTAGGTTAGGTTAGGTTAGGTTAGGTTAGGTTAGGTTAGGTTAGGTTAGGTTAGGTTAGGTTAGGTTAGGTTAGGTTAGGTTAGGTTAGGTTAGGTTGTTTTAGCAGTCATCAGAGTGTCAAGCTCAGCCGGCCGCGTCAAACCGTGAGGGTCATTGCATTTACGGTCATGTAACGCTGTAAAATAGAGATGTCGACTTAAGCTCTATCATATCGTGTGAACCCTATCATATTGTATGTAAAATAGCTATGTCTTCAACTCTATTATATTGCGTGAACCTTAGCATATGGTATGTAAACAGAGATGTCGACTTGCACCCCATCATGTTGTATTTGATCAGAGTTCTTTAAGTCACATTTACTTTCTGGTTTTGTGAAACATTACAACAAAGGTTAACGTGCTGCAAGGTCTTGTTAGAATACTGCGGCCTTCATAATCCATTCAGAATCAGGAGGAAATTTAACACGCCTTAAATATGACATGGCAGTCGTGAACATCATGCAATTTCCTACCGTTTGATATGTAATGCTATGTTTTTTCACTGAGATCCTCCTGTTTGGTGTGTTACTGAATGCTTGGTTGTTCATACAAATCACAGTGTGTGACATGTAGTGACATGAGTAAAACGCCATTTTTTGGTTAAAGGTTGAGACAAAACAACGATATTTTATGCTGGAAAAGTGTGAAGAATTAATGCTAGGTGGGAAATCGAAAGTTTTGTGTCAATAGCTGCATTTCTTGCTGAACCATTTTTCCGTTTCCGAACCGTTTGTTCTGTTCTTGCAATAGATGGTGAGTTGAAGTTGTTCTGCCGTGTTGGTGCACGTCACATTCACTTCCTTGGATGGTTCATGAACGATGCGTTCATCCACTTTTTAAGATGGAGACTTGTGATTGCAAAAGCAGAGTCAAGCAGTTAGTCATGTTTTTGACCACTTTGTTGGAGGTTTGGTTTTTGTTTCTCGTTACACATGTCTTTTGATTTCGTTTTCAATGTCTGCATTTGCTGTGCAGTGCATTGCCGTCAGGAGTATTCGAGATCACCGACTGGGTTAATAAACAAACCCTGAGCGCTACTGGCTGATGGACAAGGTAAACATTTACGTTTGTAACGAAGGTCGAAGCCAGTACATGATGTTCAGTAGCCGTAAGAAATACACGAAGTTCGTTGAGATGCACCTCATACCTAGATCCATTCTAGGCTTTATTGATTCATGCATACTGCAAAACGGGTGTGCTTTTTACGGAGGTCTTGGGTACATCCAAATAGCTGACGTCTTAAAAACGCGGCTCAAGAAGCATTCCATTATTTTCCAACGCAAAGTACCCATGTTAAGCCATCGTGCGGCGCCGGAAAATAATTGCTTCGCTGTTAACCATACTTCCCGCCCGCGCAGGTTCAGTTCAGTACACACGCCAACCGAACCGTTTGTTGGAACGCAGGTTTGGTGACTGGTGGTGACCGGCACCAGGCCGTTTACTGTCCATTAAGGTCGCTGCGTGCCGGCTCACCTGCACGTGTCGGTTCCCACGTGCGGGCATCGACTCGGTCCGTTGCCGCGCGCCGGGGCGATGGCTCAGCCCGATCAGACAGAGTCGTGGCAAGGGTCGGCGCTCACCAGCCAGCGGCGCCGGTCCGACCCGTGCACCCAGCAAGACCTCTGCACCGGGCCTCTGCACCGGGCCGAGACCTCCAGTCGGCGACCTGCCGTGCCCTGGGCTGGTGCGTCTTTGTTGCAGCGGCCCCGATAATGCCCGATAATGTCCCAGATACGGGGTTATCTGGGCCGATTGTGTACCTTGTCAAGTGAATATGACTTTTTGCGCACGTGCTTCCTCTTATGTGCTTATGTGTAACCGACTTTTCTGATCTGTTGTGCTATGGTCCATTATTTGTCTGTATGTACGCATATATATATATATATATATATATATATATATATATATATATATATATATGTATTTGAGTCGTGGCAAGGGTCGGCGCTCACCAGCCAGCGGCGCCGGTCCGACCCGTGCACCCAGCAAGACCTCTACGGATATATATATATATATATATATATATATATATATATATATATATATATATATATATATATGTGTGTGTGTGTGTGTGTGTGTGTGTGTGTGTGTGTGTGTGTGTGTGTGTGTGTGTGCGTGTGTGTGGGTGTGGGTGTGGGTGTGGGTGGGTGTTGTTCCAGTCCTGGCCGAACTCCGCTTAATTTCATTCCCTGTTCATTTCAGTGTGTCTATTCCTTGCGGCTCGCGGCATATGCTAACGCCCCTCACCACATCCGCAGGTGGGGTGCGCTGCCTGGCTGACCGTCTGCTCTTGGCGTGACCGCCATGACACAGGAAGGTGTCACGTGTCTGACGCTGCTGCTGCTGCTGTTGTCTGTATCGCTTTCATTCGGTGAGTGTCTTGTACCTTGTAATTTTGCCGTTCAGTGCTTGTAGTTTCTCGGGCATGAGCTTTTGTTCACATGTACGCATTTGTACATGTGTCTGACGCAGTTTAAAAGTAGCTTTCATCGGACGCGTGGACAAAGCTTCAGGCCATAAGCGGTGCATCTGACTACGTCACGGTCTTGCTCCATGTGCTTTTCTTTTGGACAGATATCACCACTGCGTTCAGGACATGATTTATTCTTCCATTTCAAGCCTCATCACGCTGGGTATTCCTTGAGAAAAAAAGGTGCCTGGTGACCTTTTGTTAGACTTAAATGCCCCACACTTTTTAACGATAGCTTTTTATCCTTTTTTAAGGACCTGTTAATGCATACCTAATCAAGATATGATGAGTAAGAAGACACCAAAAACCTTTTTGGGTTGCAATTCGTTTGTGGTTTGTGAGTGCCTCTCACAGCATTTATTCTTGACATGTCTGAAGACAATTTGCATTGGTTTATCGATTACAGCTTTCCTTGTTCACCTGAACAAGTGAGGTGATTTAAGTGAACGCTTCGACTTTAGGCATCACTTATAATGCGACGAGCAGTTTATGAACCTAGTTTAAGCACCCTCGGATACGCGTTGCATGTGTAACGTTGCAGAGGGCTGCACGCCGTGGTTTACAATGATTCGTGCAATGATTCGTGCAATTTTGCAACATTTCCTATATGGCCTCTTAGGGTCTCTCGGGTTCTTCAACAAGAATGAAAGTGGTCCTGGAGTGCTATGCCGCTTTGTTTTGCAGTATATCAGTCTTGCAACCTCCTACAACTTTTTGCAGCACTTTAGAAAATTTGTGCTTAGGATCTTTTATGCACCGCAAGAACACTGTAGGTAGTTTTAGGGCGCTATATTGATTTGTTAAGCAATAACTGCTGTTGCAACATCCTGCAACTTTCGCGACATTTTCTAGAATCCTCTTGCAAGAGCTCTAGTGGCTTGGAAGACCACTGAAGGTAGTTTTAGGACACTAACTAGGTTCGTTATGTTCATATCCGTTTCATTCGATGCTAGTCATATGTTCAGGCAACCTGGCCATCTTGCAAAAAAAGCCTCACTCAGTAATGTGCTGCACCGTGTGCTCCTTCCAGACTGTATACAAGTGTCATGCTCGCCAATTCCGTGTGAGACACATAGATACTTCACTGCCCGGGATGGAGTTAGGACCATTTCACTGCTCTGGTTAAGGTTAGAGACATAGAGTCCGTGAAAAGGTTCTTTCCCTGCTACACCCGTTTGACACGACTTGGGTCACGAACGCCCTCTCGAGCATCTTGCCTACTCCCCCAATCTGTTTTTGGTTTGCAACATAAGCTGACTTTAAATGCGACTTAAATTCGTCCATCCCTCCCCTAAGATGAGCTGCCGTTGCTTCCACAGGTCCTTATAACCTTTCAACTTCAATGCAAATCCACGTCTGCTCTACCCCGCCGCATCATACGCTGCATTCGTTCGTCGTATCGCTTGTCAACTTAAGCCCCGAATTTTGCCTTACTTATGCTCCCCAGTGGCACACATGGTTGGCGTGGAGTACTGCTGCCTAATATGCTGCCAAATTTAGAGTTTTAGGAACCCTGAACACACGTTTGCAATGTTCACGCCTCTTCATCTCGGCACGTCAGGCTCTTTTACGCGAGGCGTTCGGTTTCTTCGGGTGAGGGGTCAAAGCGAATAACTGGACGCCCTTTCTGCCGATGTAGGGGGCTCTCATCTTTAGTGTCCTCCAGATAGCGCCCTTGTCCCTTCTCAAAGGTATTTCCTGGCCCGGGATTTTATGCCGTTTTCGCCGAGCACATCTTTCGTAAACATCTTTACGAGAAGCCTAGGACGACTGCGCCGAGTCGCACCTTTCACAAGTTCTGGTGCGCACCGTCCCTGTTTTATGGGGGCCACCGGGCCGTTTATGCGAGCTTCAGCTGGCAAAGAGCATGACGTCAGCGCACAGCTAATACGCTGTTGTCCTGTGGCCCGGAGTGGCTCTTCATGCTTAGATAGCGCCCACGTAGCGTCCTGCGTCTAAGGAGAGTCTGCCTTCCCTAATGCCAACCACAAAGCGATTTCCTGGCTGGGATTGTATGCCGTCTTAGCCGAGAACGGCATCTTTCGCAAACGTCTTTACGAGAAACCTGTGACGACTATGAGTCGCACCTTCCATAAAGTCCTATGGGCACTGACCCTGTACGATGAGAGCTTCTATGCCGGATGTTCCCTTCCTCTTTAATGTGATCAGCCTTTCAACGTAATCACTTCTGCTCTGAAAGTCCTAAGTCCAGCCTCCTCCATCTGCAAAGTTACCATTATCGGCAGACATGGGCGTAAGAGCCCATGTTAGCACAAGAGCCCATCTATGTATGGGGTCATCAGCTCATACATAGACGTTTTGGTCTCACACGCCCGTTAGGTTGCTATAAATATGTAAGATGTATCTTTAGCTTATCCCCAATAGACTGACAACAGCAAGAGAATGTTTATTTCCTTCAAAATCGGAATCTTGAAGAGCCAGAATGGCCGCTACACATTGGCATTAAGGTTCAATAATTTGTGACTCTGCTTGACCAACGTGCTCCTCATATAACCATCACTTCCGAATTTCGTGATCGATACATTGCTTTCGAGTCCAACTTATAATGCGGATTAGCAACAGGATAATTATGCCCGGGTCAATAAAGTCCTATTCATAATTTCCAGTGTGAATGTCATGACACACACGCCCCCTGGCGTTTACGTCACGTTGTTGCCGCCTAAGTTGTTGCGACAGGTCGTATCCCTTGAAACGTAGCCGGTGAAGCCTAGGTGCATGAAAACTTTGGTGCACTTTGGGCAAGTGACTCAAAATTCTCTGAATCAGCGTAGATAAAAAATGTCGTTTAAAATTCTGACCAGCTTATGTCCAGGCTGTATTTTGATATCCACCCAGTTGAAGCAGACGCACACCCAATGACTCAAAATGCCTACCCACTCGCTGAATTTCGCCTTCTCAAGGAATGGGCGAATAATGGACGACTAATCTTAGGAAAGCGGTACGTCTTATTTGCCGAATATCATGGATGAGTCAAATAGGCAAGATTGTGCACCAGTGGAAAATGTATATCTACATCTAGCATAGCAAGCACGACATTTAGTTACTACCGAAATGTGCCATTTTATTAAGGGCAGACAATGTACTTCGGCTCTACTCCATCCCTACCCCCATGGTCACTAGGCTTGCTCCCCACTTAAGTTCCTTATTGTCTATCCTGATCCTGCCCAAAGCACTTTTTGAAACCTTCTTGCGCCTATGCATTTAGCACATGTTTTCGTGTGGGTGAAACCATCGTAAAACAATTTCCAGAAAACGCGTGATCCTGCATTTCAACTGGTGTTAAAATACCTGTTTGGCAATCCATTGTCGACACTGTAGATACACGTGGCAGAACCAAAATGAAGTGGAAAAAATCGAGTCTTGAACAAAAACAGAAGAAATCCTCCAAACGCACGGGCATGAGTATTCTGGCGCGCACCAGCTTTGCTGTGGTGCACCGGTGCAGGCCGTGGCGTAACGTGGCGTGCTCCGGTCGCAGCCCGGGTGAGATCAACTGACCGTGGCGTAACGTGGCGTGCTCCGGTCACAGCCCGGGTGAGATCAACTGACCGTGGCGTAACGTGGCGTGCTCCCGCCGCAGCCCGGGGTGAGATCAACTGCTACAAGTGCTCGTCCCGAAACGGTACGAACCCGGCCTGCCACGACCCATTCTCCCCGGCCATGTCCACGTACGTGCGCGCCTGCAAGGTGCCGAAGCAGAAGCACGTGGGCGAGTTCCCAGCCAACTTCTGCGTAAAGCTGACCGGCACGTCAAGTGAGTGGGGCGCTGTTCAACGTCGGGGCATGCAGGTATGGATTCAAGCTCGGGTGGGGCTTGGGTGGAACCCTGAAAGGCTGTGGGATCCCGGGCATTGCGACACCGCGAGATCAGATAATCGTCCCGTCGGCCGTGCTCATCGATCGCGAGTGTATTTGCAACGCTCGACGTTTGCAGCGCTGAGAACAATGTTTAAAGCAACGACGAGTGTAACTTGTCACAGGAAAATCAGGCCGCACTGAGGCAGCTTAAAATGTGGTACTTGCTGCTGTAAATGTGTCAGTTTATGACGGTGCCGTACTGCTATCGCTCAGAGGCGATGACGTTTCGTAGTTTTGCATCGCCGTGCTGGTTTTCAGCGCGGACCGGGGAGGTCCTCGTCATTCGCAACTGCGTGCTGAAGAACATGGAGTCGCAGTGTGGGGCTTTCAAGTTCGCCAACGAGACTCTCCATGGCTGTGTGCTGACCTGCAACTACGATGGCTGCAACGGCGCCACCTCACGGACCGTTTGCGCACTTACGCTTCTGCTTACGCTCGCCGCAGCGCTCTGGGGCGTCGGGTGAAGTCCGGATAATCTGACCGTGTGTGTGTGTTGCTTTGGTTCGTCATTTGGAGCCCGCTGGCCGACTGCGGTGGCCTGTGTATGGGGTCTGCTGACGGGGCTCGCATGCCCATGCTCTAGCACGTGCGGTACGAGCATCTTTTGCTGCCGCCCAGCACGCTCCGGTATTTTTAGACGGACTCGCGTGAAATAACAAGCGTGGACGTACTGTCAGTAGGCAGTAGGCACCAGCTGAACGTCTTAGTAGACGCTTAATTTTGTTAAAGATTTCCCTTAACATAACATAGAGTTGTACTGCAACCTTATTCTCTGGGTGGGAAGAGTGTGCACATTATCTGCTCTGTAATGATTTTTGCTCGCTTATCAACGGTTCGCTGCAGCGCCACGAATTTTTTGAGGACTTTCACAGGATGGATATGTTGAAAGGACGCTGTGTTGGAATACGAAACAAATCTTCTTGGCAGGGGCGGTTCCAGATCATCGTTTTGGGAGCTATTTCTCAGTGCTTACAGGGTGAGAAGCATAAGTTAGCGCGCCACACTGACGTGTTTTTGGAGGTGAATTAAAGATTGCGGATTTATTCGTATGGTTATTTAGAGCATGCGTGTTGCGTATCAATATCTTCGGCGAAATGGTGAGTACACTGTTACACTTAAATGCGTCCACCATGCGCTTATTGTGTCAGGCTTTATGAAGAGAAACATTCCCCACAGGCACTCCAGACTTCCACCTTGGAATGAAAACTCGTTGAAACAAATAAAATGGTGTTTTGTTCATCGATGTTGGAAAACGAGTTTCCGAGATATCTAGGGTGGGGAGACACACAGCTTATATTTGGTGTAGAACCGAATATATACATAAAACACATGCATATATATACATATATATATATATATATATATATATATATATATATATATATATATATATATATATATATATATATGTAAATATGTAATATATGTATGTATACAAATAAATAAATAAATATATATATATATATATATATATATATATATATATATATATCTGCATATATATAGGCAATATTTACGAAAAGCGAGCGAGCATTATCACCAACCCGCAGGGCATCTAGTGTATGAGTGATGTCGCGGGAGATGAAATGGACGGAGAAGTGTGAGCAATGTAACAGACATGACAAATATCCCTTCATTTAATTTCTTCGTCGTACTGGGGCTCTACATAGTCAAGGCAAGCCTCGAGCAAGGATATCCATGCATGTGTGGGTCGAAACGGTCCGCAAAAAGGGGTAAAGTTTGAACCATCGCGCCATCACTTACATTCATTTAAAGCCATTTTCCCCAAAAGCGTCCTCTTATGTGATATTCCAAACAAACAATCACGTTAAATGTTCTGCAGAGCAAGTGACTGAAGTGATTGCTCCCTAATCTTTCACATGTTATGCTGACGGTAGCCACTTTAGCTCGGAAATAGAATCATCTAACATTCAGCGTGCCATTGCAAGCCAGTGCTATGCGTCACGCCACATCGTTGCGATGAATGAAATACGACACTGATGATCGAACGAATGTGTAATTATATCGTATATAAATAATATAATTACGTAATTACGATATTATTACGAATAATATAATTACGAGCGCAAGCAGAATATAAATTACAACGACTGAGGTGATAGCTCTGGTAGGTGTGTCGCGCGATATGGCGGGAGGGAGGCATCGGGGTGCTCCGCAGGTGTGCATCTGAACCTGCCCTAAGCCCAACGTCAGGCTGTTTGCCAGCTTTTTCTCCGGCTTAAGTATGATTGCGACACATGGGGCCCGCTCTCGTCCCTTTTTTGGTCTGGCGTCTAGGAGAACGTGCAGCCGTGGCAGTGCAGCGGCCGGCATAGGTGACCTATGACCGTTGGTCCCCCCACGAACATTGCTTTCATACTAGGGTTTCTGTCTGGAGGGAAGTAATCAGTATGTACTGCACTGTGACCCTGGCGTGACCCTGGTCCATCGCTGCCAGCGGCTTGCTGTGGGGTTTCATCTTTTCTTTTTCGTCTCTTCTGTTCCGAAAGTGACTTACTCAGACCCCGTGCCGAAAATCGCTGCTAAAAACAGATGTTCGCCAATGACGCACATGCAAATACTTGTATGTTAAAAATATATGTCAAATATACTTGACAAATTACAACTACATTTGTGTTCTTATTAATGAGTCTATTTGTATTCGTTTGGATGGGCCGCTGGCCTCATCCAGTGTTCAAACCCCCCGAAGCTACCCCTACCCGAACGGTGAGGTTTCCCTGTCCGAGCAGAACATTGAATAATGGGGCTCAAAACCACGTTAGTTTGAACCACTGGGGCTACTATGAGCATACGCCCTCGTCTTTAAATCGAGAATGTGCCGCACAGGCGGTGGACCTCGCTCGGTATTCCGGGCAACCATCTCACGGGAGCGATGACATATTTTGGCACGATGCACTTACACGACTGGGGATCAGAAGACGTGCCCATCGCCCTCCGCAGCTGTGGTATACGGACTGCTCTCATAGTACTCATTGGGGGTCATGGGGGAGGGGGGGTTAACACATAGCGCGGTGTGATGGTGACCGCGGGTTTCGATTACAGTTCCGCGGTATATCTCGCACCTGACTGCGTCACAAAAAAGGCGTCGGGGAGGACGACTAACCCATTTCGTGGGACTCGTCCCAGAGTGAACGACAAGATGGGCATTCCGATAACCCGTCCGGTTGTCAGCCTTCAAGCACGCTGTCCAAGTTATCCACATGTTCACTGGGGACGTACGAGCTCAGTGCCACTTCACACGGTTCAGCAATCATTCTTCCGTAAAGCCACCTTGCCTCGGAAGATGTTTGAAAAACAATACAGTCCTTGATATCGAGAACACAAGTTTAAGTGGCCGAAATGCGGAGTAAATCTGGTTTGGGGAAGGTCAAGTAAACCTTATTGGCTGCGCCGCCCCAGCCAAAGTCGAAAACGTGACACCCCTGATGAGCATGTCAGGTAGTGCATTCGATCGGTGGATGTCGGTTAGATAGGCTGATGTGCTTGGTTGACCTATCAGAGATATGTGACTATCTGCCACTACTGGTGGCTGATAGCACTGAGATGCCATGTCGCGTTACACCATCAGTACAGTATTGCGTCAAGGGTCATTTCCAGCACGTAACAGGTTAAAATTCGAGACACCGCGCTCTTTCCGATGCCCATAGGCTGCAGTGTGTACTAGGGCTTATCAATGAATATCATTGTGTGAAGTACCTTCAAAAACGAGCGTAATCGTCTGCCATTGTCACAAAGCTTATATAGCACGTGAATGACTTTCAACTATTTGTGAGACGAGGCCCACGGAATGTAACCAGGCTTGTCATGGAGGGAGCCTTTGAATTATTCAGTTCAAGGTTCGCAAACAACGGAATGCAAAGAGCCTATCCAATAATCAGGAAAAAGTCAGCTCTTAGGAAAAGCTCAGCGCATCGGAGGTCTCCGCCGTGTAGGCTCGCGTGGACCATCGATTCGTTAGCACAGCAAAGAAGATGCAAATACCTGAGGTTTTTTCTTTGTGAAAAACAATCAGGTTTTTGCACCCAAATGCTCAAACACCCAAATACCCCGAAAACACCCAAATACCCCCTCTTTGAATTACTCCAGACAGGATCTTATGGGAAATCAGTCGTGCAATTATGCAGAAGTGCATACGGATCCTAGTTGCGAAAGTTAATCGTCGTAATCTAATGCCCAACATTATTGTGCGCGAAACGATGCAATCGTTAGCGATAGCGCATGTGCTTTACTGCATCACTGCTGAAGGTACTGTAGACGCCGCTGCATAGGTGCTGCATTTGAAAAGTACTTTCGGCCAGAGTGATAGCAGAATTTCATAAGGACGGGCATGCCAGTGCCACCCGGAGGCAGTTGGGCTGGCTGAGCATGAGTAAACTCATTCAGTACAGAGCATGCATAAGGAAATAAAATAGCATGGCCACTGGAGAGCCAGCTCAGCTAGCAGCGCTCTCTCGATCAGCCCGCGTCGTGAGCGACATTGACACGTGGCAGCGAGGGCCAATCCGTTTGACACGCGTCCGAACTGAAGCAGGGGAGCGTCACTTCTCGTTCAGAGGCACAACGGTTTGGAACGGCGTCCTCTGCCCGTCCACGTCCATCGTTTAAACAGACGATGAAAACAAGCATTCCCAACATGAGGGCGTCTGCCTAACTGTATTTGAGAAAATAGTGGTAGACGATTTTATCACATTACTCACGGGGAGTGCTTTATGTTTAATTTCACACATGCTTTCGCACAACATGATCTTAATGAGTACCTCGTGGTACAATGGTGGTACAATGAATATCGGATATTTTCATTACAAGCTTTCTATCTGTCTGGGGTTGCGGGCTGCTGTTTAATCCCGACGGTCACCAGCGTACCCTCTTCCATCACGTGATTCCGCGCCAACGTGGTGAATGCTGGGCGAGGATGTCGTCTCGGCTCATATAGCAGTGATATTCCATGATAAATACATCCCACTAAGACTGCACCAGGTGTGCACCATCAACGAAGACTGCTGCGTGGCCAGTTGTCTTCCCGTGCATCTCTATCAACACCATGGCAGCGATAGAAAATATCGATGGATATTTTCAAATATGATGCCGACTTGCAACTGGAGCGTACGTGACATGAAGGTAAATGAGCACCAGAGGAAAAATGACAGATTACACTAATGCTTGCTGAGCTCTTAGAACGAACTTTGGTAGTGAAACTGAAAGCAGCACAGTCTGCTGAGCAAAGTACTTTTGGTCTGCGTTTGGAAAACGCGAGCACCAATTTTTGCGTGAAAAGCCCAAGAGAACGTGATACGTGAGCCGCGAAGGGACGAAGCCATGCGGCAATCACACATCGCACTCTGGACCGATTTCGCACAATTAAAATTTCACCAAACCGACCGCCATCAAAAGGACATGCACTGTTACCACCTGGCCACGGCGGTCGCATTCATCACAAGGGATCTGTGTGTGTGTCATTGGGGCTTTACGACGCACTCAGCTGCTGAGGCTATATGGCGTCGCCTGCCTCCCACCCTGGCAGGAAGGGCGAGCACTGCGATCACAAGTAAGCACAAGGCGAGCACAAGTGATCTGAACAATTGAACAAGTCCTGATGGCTTTCGCGTTACTGGCGCAGGAAGGGCATTCTTTTTTGCTGGGAAAATTAGCAAATATCGTCTGCTGGGTATCGCGGGAGCCTAGCGGCTACGTGGTGTGACATTCTAAGCTGGACGGCCACCATAGCCATGCTCCTCCAGTAATGACACCGGTGGCGGCTCAGAAGTCGTACTATGGAGATCGTCCCAGTGCCTTGGCAGGAGCAGGGGCCTCCAGGTCAATCGCCCATCCGACTGTGAGCAACATAGGCATGTCATCTTCCACATGTTTATATTAAAAGCGATTGGAGGTGCGCCATGATACAAACACCATTCGCTTCTGGACACACGACAAATACCACAGGCTTCCGGACACACAACATCCCGCGGCACTCAAATCGCGCACGCGTCTGGACATTCATCCACTTCGGCTAGCGTGCTGCACGGCACACAGCGCGGCGCGACGATTTGAGGGCCCCAAATCGCAGCTTCACAATCAATGCCTAACACAGTGAGTCTACGATTAGGCGCGTGCCCGGGGACTGCGATTTCGGCTCTGCGCCGCGCCCACGGCGAGCGGATACAGCTGCGTCGAGGGCGGCGCACTTCTGACGGTTGCGGCGCCCGCCGCCGCAGCCCTGCTCAGCTATGGACGTCTGTCGGGGCCTGCGACTGGGGGCGTGTCCAGACGCTGTCTCGACAAATGCCCTCGGATGGGGAGGACCGAGTATCACAGTTGCATCACCTCCACGTGGCACGCAGCCGGGCGGCACGCCCTCATTCATCCCAGCCAATCCCCTTCGCACGCTCAGTCAACACCTCGCTGACCAGCCAGTGGGGGGCCGTAGGCCCCGCAAAGCTCTGCTGCATCTCACGGCTCTATCCCCCCACCCCCCCCCCCCACCCCGCCATCTTCCTAGGCGTCCACTGACATTGGGAGCACGCCCACAAGCGGCGTCGGCACTGACAGCCAGCGCGCCTCAGATGCGTCCGACACAGGAGCGGACCGCTCCGCGGCCACCCCCGCTCGCGACGCCCGCATTACCAGCGACATCCACACGTGGCGCGCGCGCAGACCACGAGCGCGCCCAGCCGCCGGCACACGCACGTCCTGATTGGCGCGGGGCTCCTGTGCGGCTCGCTCCGCCAGGTCCCACGACGTTTGGCCCCTGAGGCCGCCCTCCGACGCGTGCTCGGCTCGGGCTGCCCTCGAATACTGTCCGCTAGTCGACCGCGCCCTTCACGCGCGGCGTGGCCTCCAGTGTCTCTCACTCAGACGGCGTCCTCTGGCGAACCGTCGTTCTCGTCGCTGACGATGACCTCTGGCAAGGCGGGCGAGCTGGGGCTGCCGCCGACGGCGGCGCCGGTGCCACCGCCACCGCCGCCGCCGCGCCGCTCCAGCACGCGCCGCGCCACCGGCACCAGGCAGCTGATACCGCTGGCGAGCAGCAGCAGGCCGCCGGCCGCGTAGAACGACACGTCGTAGTCGCCCGTGTAGTCGAACAGGGCGCCTGTCGCGGACAGGACCGGGTCAGAGCGGCGGACAATCCATCACAAGCTGGGGCACCACAGGTCAGAAGGGGCGGCGCCGGTCAGGGGACCCGCGAGGACGCAGAGTAGGGGCCACCGAAACGTCACCGACAGACCACACGCATCCCAGGCTCCGCAGAAGGGCCAGGACCCATGGTCGGGACAAAGGTTCAAATCACTTCAAACAAGGCGCGTAGAGAGCTAAAGAGCGAAGAACCACCAAACGAACTCGATGAGGTCGGGCAGGATCTAGTACAAGGTGAAACAGTTCTGGGTCGGACAGGTTTGTGGATGATTGGATACGGATGGCAAACAGGCAGACAGAGACCAACGCGACAACATTCATTGCCGAGCTAGGCCACCGCCGCACCGTTCCGAATCTATTCAATGCCGAGCTACAGACCATCGCCGCGGCCCTCTAGGTTCCATTCAATGCCGAGCTACAGACCCCCGCCGCGACCCTCGAGGTTTCATTCAACGCCGAGCTACAGACCATCGCCGCGGCTCTCTAGGTTCCATTCAATGCCGAGCTACAGACCACCGCCGCGCCGCTCCGAATTTCATTCAATGCCGAGCTACAGACCAAAGCCGCGTCGCTCCAGATTTTATTCAATGCTGAGATACAGACTACCGCCGCGGCCCTCTAGGTTCCATTCAATGCAGAGCTACCGACCACCGCCGCACCGTCCCGAATTTCATTCAATGCCGAGCTACAAACCGTCACCACGGCCCTCCAGATACCATTCCGTGCCGAAATGCAAACCACCGCCGCGCCCCTTCAGTCAGGCAACCCTTCTACAGGACGACCTGTCGACAGGCTCCTGAGCTGGAAAACCTCCCGGCACCCCGCCAGAGGCGCGCTACAATAGGGTGCCACCCCGGCATTAGTAGAACACTGAGCCTAACCAGTGCGACATTCGTTGTTTCCCTTGCTATCATAATCTAGATTGGTTAGTGAGTCCTTATCCACCGTGTCCGGTCTGTCGGAGGCGGGCTCTATCTAATAGGTGTTAAACGTGAGCGGGTTATCCTAATCAAATTCCGCGACGGGTTTGTGGCGAAGCTCTCCATAGAGCTTTTCCCCCATCTACATCGAAAGCTCGCATCAGCTCGGGAACAGGTAAGCAATCGTAGCAGCGCACTAGCTCCAGCACGAACACAGCCCACAAGCAGCAGCACCCCCTGATACGGTCCGACCCAGAGAGCATGGTGCAGCAGGTGCCCCGGACGGGGCGCCCCCAGCAGCATCCTCCGAACAGCTCGCAAGCACCATACCGCGACCCCCAGACAGCCTGACGTGTAGCAGGTGGCTATGGTAACACCGAGCCGGGGGTCCAGTGGCGGGGAGCACAACGATGCCAGGCTTCAAACGATCGACACGCATCCACGAGCTAACACGACAATATGAACTACGCAAACAGAGGGACACGTGAAAACAAAGGCACGTGCAGTCAAGGTGGTAAACATAGTTGAAATAGCGGAGTTCCACGGGGAAATCAGACAATCCGACCGATAATGGTGGGTTTCATAAAGCGAAACTGCAGTGTCACGCATTAGATCACACTGTCTTAGCAAAGGACGAGGGGGAAATTTTTACAACGATCATACTTGCTAAATCTTAGACGAACAAGAAGGCACAAAATTTCAGAGTTTTTTATGTGTCCGTCCCAACTGCGCTCACCAAAACGGTAAAGAGTTATTCGCTTATGAAACTGGCCACAGTTGGAAATTAACGAACGCAGGGTATAACAGGCAAGTCCAATCTAAAGCCAACAAAACGTGGTTCTAGGAAATGTTAGTAACAAAACCGCATACTATTTCCGTACTAAGCTGCCAGCCGGCGCGCCTGTAGGGCAGCGACATTGTGCGGGTAGAAACTAGGCGCTTGTGAGGCAGTCGCGGATAGCTATAAGTTCCACATTTACAAGCATTATACAGAATGCAATTGTGGTATAAATCCCACAGCCAAGAGTGAGAAGCACCAGCTCGCTGCCATAGCCGGAAAGCTTGTGGCAGTTGGGGTCAGTGACTGGACTGGGCGGAGCGTTGGTGTGAGTGGCATTGCTCAGGCGTGGTGGTGGGGAACGGGGAGGGACGGGGCCGCTTACCCTGCTCCGGCGGACAGGCGGCGCCTGCGCCCCACCGCGCCGCGCCCCACAGGCTGAAAAACTGACCAGAGTACCGCTTTAACTCACCGCCGGCGACAGCCTGCTCTGCTGCACTCCGAATCGGTACCCTCCCGGGACCGGGCGCCTCTCCACGGGGCCCTCCCAGAGCCCGGCGTCTCTCCCTGAAACCCTCCCAGGACTCAGGATCTCTCCCAGGGGCTCTCGCAGGACCCCGCGTCTCCTCCCAAGGACCCGGCGTTCTTTACCTGGGGCCCTCCCAGGACCCCGCATCTCTCCTCGGTGTCATCCCAGCGAGATGAGGCCGCACGCACGCACGCACGCACGCACGCATGCACGCACACACGCACGCACGCACGCACGCACGCACGCACGCACACACGCACGCACATGCACACAGCACGCGCCGCGCCATGCAGACGTCACAGACAGTGCGGGAGAGGATGGCGCACTGGCATCACACCTCACATCACCAACGGGTTTCAAGATATTCGTAACACAGGTTGTTTTACTTCACAATGCAGCATAAAAGCTGAAATAAAACATGGTAGTTCCCACACGTACACAATTACAAAGTTTCGGTAAATTTGCAACGGTTTCATGTACGTCGCAACCGTTTCTCGCGGTCAGTCTGCACATGCAAAACTGCATGTGATACAGGACTAGTACAGTGGTGCCTCGGCTCATCGATGACGCTATCCGAAAACGGTTCTATTTAAACACATCAGCCATACAAGAACGAGCTTAAAGTTGGTACCACAACGTCTATCAAACGAAATCTACAGGTGTCTGAAATTATCAAAGATAAGGACACTCGCTTGCTCAGAAACATGCCATTAATCATGTCGAACTCATTAACAATGGAGAAGCACTCAGCCTTAGCTATACGACTGGATTATTCAGTGCTATTTTTAAGGTGATAAACACAATATGGCCGGCGTAAGCAGCCTGCACCCATAGCAGCACATTATGCCGTGCAAATAAAACTAATTGTGTTCAAACGTCTATGTTCGAATAAACAATCATTACTCATACAGATACATGATTTGGAGAACGCAACATCGGTTTCGAAAATTATTTCATTGGACCACTATGATGCGCAGAAATCCCGCAGTTCATGCTTTTACCAATGCTTGACAGAGAAAGCCTTACGAACCCTTTGGCACGTACGAGCGAAACACAAGAAGCTTAGCATTTTACAAAACGAGGATACCAGACTACATACGTGCAGCTGCATACTATACCTTTATTTTTCATAGCTCAGAATGCGCTTATGAAAAACAATTACCCAGCCCACGGTGAACGAAAACCAAATCAGCTATACTTTTGGGATCGCATGCTTTGCTAGTACCGTGACTTAAGAACACATTCCATTCCTGGGATACTGCATGCACCTAGATGCTACAACACAGTTCATCTACGCACACATACTCCAAGGACATTGGGGTTTCCCCATTCACTACCACCAGAGGTGTTCGCAGTGCAACACCTGAGGTGTACACGTACACGGCGCGGCGGGCTCACAACGCACGGATCAGTCAGCTGACTACGGGCACTAGGCACACCCAGGGGCGGGCGGGGAGTCCCTGGCCGGTCCACGTACCTGCCACGGGCGGGCCAACCATACTCGCTGTACCACGGAACAGGATCAGCAGGCCGAACGAGTTCGACAGCTTGTCAATACCCAGCAAGTCAACCAGCACGATACAGGTGAGCGAGATGTATCCGGCTGCAACAGAGGCGGGTCAATCGTACCGTACCCGGCGGCGACGGCGGCGGCGCGCCTCCTGTAAACGTGCCGGGGCGGAGTGTGGGGCAGGTGGTGGCGGTGCGGTGCGGTGTGGGGCGGTGCACCGCACCGAGGCGCGCGGGTGCGGCCAAGCGCGCCCCGGTGCGGGGGCAGCGTGCCGCAGCGGGGCGCGCGGGTGCGGCCGAGCGCCGCCGGGACGTCACCTGCAAGCGGCGTCCCTACAATGGCAGAGAGGCCGCGACAGATGCACACCAGGCCGAACGCGTTGACGAGCTTATCCAGGCCCAGCAGGTCGACCAGTATGACACAAGTCAGCGATATGAAGGAGGCTGGAACAGCGCGCACACAGACACTGGTACCGCGCCCGCCGCCGGGCCGGCGCCGACCACTGCGGCCCAGACCGAGCAGGCCGTGTCATCGCACGCCAAGCCAGCCGCAGCCAGTCGCTGCGGTACTCACAGCAACGACGCACAGCCGCGAGACGGGATTTCGTACAGAAGGCACGGCAGAGGGCGACGCAAACCCTTGGACGTATTGTGCTAGGTATGAGCCTGGACTACGTGGCATGCAAACCGGTTGGAATTCTACAATTCGTCCTTGCATGATTGTCGTCTAGCTATTTTGAGCATCTCAATAAGATGGGTGGACACTGACACACAGCGACTAACAAACGTGCTGACTGGTCAGATTCTTAGCACCTTTGTCAGGCGGCTCTATACGTTTTACATTGTGGTGTTGTGACCAGTTAGAACCGCAAAGCATACATCGAGAAAACAGAAACTAGGTGAGCCTGATGTGCGCCTCTCAATATAAGCAAGGACAGGAAACATGCACAGCGTACCACCAACGTCAATGGAACAGGCTTCATGTGCTATCTCATGGATCATCACCACCTTTGGTCCATGAACATTACCATGTTAAGAACTATCAAGATACGAAGCAAATGCCAACCGAGACCAGATGAGCTCTACTACATAGGCCGAATTCCATTAGCTATCAGAATGTCACGTTCGCAAATTATTCATAGCACCGCTGCCAATGCCGCCAGTGACTATAATGCCAGTAACACAGTATAACGCAGGCAGCAACGCATGCAATACAATCTGTCGGCATCCGTCTAATGAACCGTACTCCAGAGCCATCGGCCACTGGGATCGAATCCACTCACCGACAAAGAACCCGAAAGCCACGCAGACGACAACGAAGCTCGCATAGCTGGAGCAGAAGGGGATCAGGAAGATGCAGACGCCGCTGAGCATCAGGCAGACGTTGTTGACGAAGAGCGCGTCGACGCGTGGGAAGTCGGTGATGAAGCCGGAGATGACGCGGCCCAGCGTGTTGGTGATGCCGATCACCGACAGCAGGAAAGCCGCCGAGTCCGGCTCCACGCCCTGTCCGGCAGCACAGTCAGGCTAACGAGAGGGGACATACGACACCGGCGGTATGGGGCCCGTCGAGAGGTGGAACGGACGGCACCGGCGGCACGAGATCCCGTCGGGAGGGAGGTGGGACGGACGGCACCGGCGGCACGAGATCCCGTCGGGAGGGAGGTGGGACGGACGACACCGGCGGTACGAGATCCCGTCGGGAGGGAGGTGGGACGGAAGGTACCGTCCGCACGAGATCCCGTCGGGAGGTGGGACGGACGGCACCGGTGGCACGGGCCTCCGTCGGGAGGGAGGTGGGGCGGGACGGTACCGGTGGCACGAGATCCCGTCGGGAGGTGGGACGGACGGCACCGGTGGCACGGGCCTCCGTCGGGAGGGAGGTGGGACGGACGGTACCGGTGGCACGAGATCCCGTCGGGAGGGAGGGTGGGACGGACGGTACCGGTGGCACGAGATCCCGTCGGGAGGTGGGACGGACGGTACCGGTGGCACGAGACCCCGTCGGGAGGTGAGACGGACGACACCGGCGGCACGAGATCCCGTCTGGAGGTGGGACGGACGGCACTGGTGGCACGGGCCTCCGTCGGGAGGGAGGTGGGACGGACGGTACCGGTGGCACGAGATCCCGTCGGGAGGTGGGACGGACGGTACCGGTAGCACGGGACACCGTCGGGAGGTGAGACGGACGACACCGGCGGCACGAGATCCCGTCGGGAGGTGGGACGGACGGCACCGGTGGCACGGGCCTCCGTCGGGAGGGAGGTGGGACGGACGGTACCGGTGGCACGAGATCCCGTCGGGAGGTGGGACGGACGGCACCGGCCGCACGAGATCCCGTCGGGAGGGAGGTGGGACGGACGGCACGGGCGGCACGCGATCCCGTCGGGAGGTGGGACGGACGATACCGGTGGCGCGAGATCCCGTCGGGAGGGAGGTGGGACGGACGGCACCGGCGGCACGAGACCCCGTCGGGAGGGAGGTGGGACGGACGGCACGGCGGGCACGAGATCCCGTCGGGAGGTGGGACGGACGGCACCGGCGACACGGGGTCCTGCCCCGGTGGCGGGTCTGGACCGGGCAATCACCCGGACCGCCAGCTACACACAGCGCCGGCATGACGCGGCTGGCTGAGCCCGCCACTCTCAGGGCCGGCGTCAGGGTCGTCCGTCCGAGCGCACCGCCGGTGCCCACAGACCGGCCGGCCGCGCGCGACTGGCGACGGCCGCCGCCCCGGCCCGTCGCCCGCACCTTCATCATGGCCGAGTCCACGATGTACACGAACGGCACGTAGAAGCCCAGCATGCCGAAGACGTTGCTGGCGCAGATGAGGATGAAGAGCGGGTTGCGCAGGAGGCTCATGTCGATCATCTCGGCCAGCACGCCGCAGCCGGCCGGCAGCACGCACGCCCAGGAGTCTGCCGGGGCGGCACACCGACGCGTGGTAGGAACGGGGTCCGGCCGAGAACGGCCGCCGCCACGACATAGCGGACCACACTGATTGAGTGGTGATAGGGGCCACAGTTACAGAACAAAGACAGATCGTGATACATGTATAGTCTTTACACTTATAGGCTTTACTATTGTAAGCCGTGATTAGCACGTAAATCCAGCCTTTCCTTGGCTGTGAATGGCTGGATCCATGCATTAGATAACAGGGTGACAATAGAATGGTAATCCGATAGCAGTAGTGACACTCCAAAAGCAGAGACAGGGAATCCTTTTCACAGAGGGAGGGGGGGGGGGGGGGGCAAAATATGTTGTGACTAGTGAATTCAACGCAAGCAATACAAAACGAACACCAGGATAAATCCGTTACAGAAGATACTGATATGCCCACCATGACCCGAATTCCACCGACATGAATATGCTCCCTCCCCCAGCGGTTCCACAGCGTGAAGCCCAGCCAGCCGAGCGCTGCCGGTGCGTCTCTCACTGGGGTCGTGCTGCTGGTCGGCGTATCCGTCCCGGGGCAGCGAGAGCACCGAGGCGCGGTACGAGGCCAGGCTGCGCTGGCTCTGGTACTGCGCCAGGTGCGCGATGCTGCCGCTGTAGAAGATGTCGCGCCGACTCATAGGGCGCAACATCTCGCCGGGGCGCGGCAGCGAGCCGCGCGAGCCGGCCGCGCTCACGCTCGTGTTGCTGCACAGCCAGAGGTCCTCCTGGCTGGGGCCCGTGCCGCGCCGGTTGTGGAACGAGAAGCGGCGCAGGTCCGGGTTTCAGGCTGTTGCCCGAGGCGCTCAGGCGCAGGCCGGCCGCGCGCGGCGCCCGAGCCGCGCCGCTGCTGCTGGCCGAACGACGGTGTCGACACGTTCTTGGGCATGGCGGCGCCGTTGGTGGCGGCGGGCGGCTCGCCCTTGGGCACGCTGCTGCGTCGTTTGACGGCACGAGTGCGCACCTCCTTCTTGCTGCCGCGCCGGCCCAGCTCGAGGTCCTCGCCCGGCAGCTCCGGCACCACGTCGTTCTTTTCCTCGTCGCTGGCCTTCTCCGAGTCGTTGTCGCCTTCCTTGGCGTTGGCTTTGGGGCCATCCTTGCGGGCAGGCGCGTCGCCGCCGTCGCCGGGGTCCTCCTGAGCCGGTTTCTCGGCTTGCTGCTCCTCGCCGGCCGCCGGGCCGTCCTTGGCGTCAGCCGGCAGGCAATGGCCGTTGCGGTCGGCGGCGGGCGCCAGCGAGCCGGGCGGCGGCGGCGGCGGCGGCTGGGACGGCCGCGGCTCGGCGGCGCCCTCCTCGGGTGAGCTGGAGCCGCCCGTGCGCGCCGCCTCCGCGATCGTCGGCAGCGCCGCCGACGGCGAGCCGAACTCGTTGAGCGCCAGCGACGAGTGCACGCCCGGGTCGGCGTTCATCTTCCACTTGGGCCGGCGCTCGAGCGTGCCGTCCGGCAGCTGGACGAAAAAGAAGCTGTCGGAGACGTTGGAACCACGCTTCAACTGGCGCTGTTTGTCCTCGGCCATCTTCTGCAGCAGCGGCTTCTGGCTCGCCTTGGGCTTCTTGTAGACGAGCGGACGCATCAGCGCCCCGCACACCTGGCGGCATGGGTCGAGTCAGGACCGGGCGGCGTCAGTGGAGAGGTGCAGCCCCCGCGCCCCACGCACCTGGAATGGGCGTGCTGACCTGCCTTCGAAACCACCATGACCTCGCAGTGATAAGGAGTCATGACACAACGCCAAGGTCTTCGCAAATCTCAAATGCACGGCCGCAACGCACACCGGCCCGTCCCATCGCGTAAACTACCCAATGGAACGCACCACGGCGTTGAAGATGATGCCAGCCAGGATCATGTTGGCACCCTTCCATCCATACTGGCCCAGCATGTAGGAGGCGAAGGGGGCGAAGACGAACGTGCCGACGCCAGACCCACACACGGCGATGCCGGTGGCCAGCGCGCGGCGCGACTCGAAGTAGTAGTTGACGGTGACGATCGCCGGTAGGTAGATCAGGCCGAAGCCCAGACCTGGAGCACGAGGGGCGGTCGTCAGCTGGTGCCGCTGCCTTACACATCCAGCCCAGCTTCGGTCGTGCCCACCCCACCAACGCTGCATCCCATGAGTATCGTACCATGCCCCACGCCCCGAAACGGTGCTTATCTGCCGTGGCAGCCTACCAGCGCGATAAACAGCGTATATCGCTGATGATCACGCTGGGTTTTATCATGAAACAAAGAGTCATCAGCAGCTGTCAGCTGCTCTGCACGTGACTCTAGGTGACACGTAGCGCTAACTTTGGACACGGATAAGTATGCATGCTATTTGTGGACGCTTTGTCTCGTATCGAGATCATGATCGCGAAAATGATACCATACTGCAAGTAGATGGGTACCGATCTAAATATGCTATTGCAATATCTTGTCACTGGTTCGCTTGGCGAACGTCTCTAGGGCAACATAAAATAAGCAGGGAGGTGTACATAACGTTAGGCCACAGACATCACTCTGAGCCATTACAACGGTGGGTGGAGAGGCGACTCATCAACGTCACGTTACGAGGTCTCAGTTAACGCGACGGTCAACTATCAGCACAATGACTGGAATTCCTCATGCGCCGCAGTAAGTCAAGACTGGCGGGCACGTGGGTCAAATCCATCGAATCCTGATCCCCATCAACTTGCTCGTTCTGTAGACAGTGAGGAAGAAAACAACAAATGTATCATATATATATAATCATTTATGGACCTACGTTACAGGCTTGTTGTTGCTTCGCGACAACAAAACTGCAGCATGTGAAGTGATCCCCTTTCTGTGGCTGACTGCACAAGAAACACTGCGTTGTTTGCCGTAGTGATTAAACCCCAGTCGACGCCGCCGGGAGCGTCACGCTGCCCGCGGCGCCATCCTCGTCCACCGTCCGATCTCATCCCGCCGACCCAGCGGCATTCTGCGCCAGACCTCCCGACCTGCCGCTGCCCGTCCCCGGGCACCGGTCAGCGCGCGGCCGATACCAGGCCCGGTGGGAGGACCGGTGGGAGGCCCTGTAGGAGGACCGTTGGCCGGGCGGCCTGCAGGCGACACCCACCCACCCCCCGCACGCCATCACCACACCGCGCCGCGACCGTCGGCGAGGCAGCGGCGGCGGCGCGCGGGACGTCCGTCCATATCAATCAGGCAACTATCTTTGGAGGGCAGCTGTCGAGCGGCCCGGCGAAGGGTGGCCGATCGATAGCGGCCGGCCTTGACCGTCGGCTGTCCCAGTCCCCCCTGCACCGCCCCCCGACGGAGCGCGTATCAACCGGGCCGCACCACACCGTCGCTCGCGAGCAGCGGACAAAGTCACAGCCCGGCCGGGCGGCGCCGGCACAAAGGGCGCTGTCGCCCGGTGCTCCTGCTCACGGGGAGGGTGTGGGCGGGGAAGGGGGCTCGCCCGGCCTCACTGGACCCGAGGTCAGTGACCAGGTGGGACGGGCTGACACGTCCCGGCCGCGCCTGGCCCGAGGCGCTCGAGAGCGACCTCGGGACATCGGAGCGGGCGGCCGTTAGCCAGGATTCCACTGACGACGCCGGAAGCCACACCACGCGGAGGCTCAGGCATAGGTCATCAGCTTAAAACAGGGAGCTCCCAAGTCAGGCTAGCGTGTTTCCACCACTCGAACAAAAACCAAGCGAAAAACAACAAAGATTCAGCCATCGTGCCAGCAAACGAGACAACCCCTAACGTTCCTATCCTTCTTCATCGACAAGGTGGAGAGTACCTGGATGATTCAACAAGTGCCAACCCTGTGACGGCACCGACGAAAGTGCTTCACGGTGCCGAAGAGCTACTCCATGCTGATGCTGATGCCCTGGGTAGTCTACAGTAGAATGGCAACGGTAGCCTAGGACACCATGTGTAAATCAAGCAGGTTCATCCGCGTACAGCACAGGGCAACTGCACAGCCGGCGCCGCTTTGGGGGACAATATGTCATCATTACAAACATTCCGCGAGCCCGAAATTGCAAGATGTAAAAAGCAGAAATCCCTGTCAGCTTGCTATCAACCATATCCCAAGTAAGGAAACTTCAAACCCAATCTAAGTGACGACAGAAATGTCACGGTTAGCGTTATCACGAAGGCACCAGTGAACAGCATAGTGATAACAGCCCCGGCGCGGCTGAGCAGCCTGAATGCGTAACCCCGCGCGAGGCCGGCCGTCGGTGGGGCGACCGCGACCCAACGATTGGCTACATCCTGAGCACCAATCACATCGCGCCCACACACTGCCAAAAACAAGGCGCCCGTCAACAGGGCGATCCGGCCGCATCCCGGCGACTGAGCGAGCCACACCCCGTCCGCCGCCGGGGACGCACATCCCACTGACGGGGACCCACACCCCGCTGACGGGGGAACGACATCCCACTGGCAGAGGAAAACATCGCACTGACGAGGGACCCACATCCCACTGGCGGAGGACAACATCCCGCTGACGGGGACCCACATCCCGCTAACGGGGGACCGGCATCCCACTGGCAGAGGAAAACATCCCACTGACAGGGGGACCAAACATCCCACTGGCGAGGGGACTCCCATTCCGCTGACGGGATCCACATCCCACTGGCCGGAGACCCATATCCCACTGAACGAGGACACATCCTACTGACGGAGGACAACATCCCACTGACGGGGACCCACATCCAACTGAAACGGGACATCTCGCTAACGGGGGGCCCACATGCTACCGGTGGGGACCCACATCACACTGGCGGGGGACTCACGTCCTTATGATGGTGGGTCCACATCCCGCTGGCAGGGGACCCACATCCCACCGACGGAGGACAACATCCCACTGACGCGGAGCCTACATCCTAGTGGTGGGGACCCACATCCCATTGGCGGAGGAGAACATCCCACTGACGGGGGATACACTTTAATCTGACAGAGGACCCACATTCCACTGACGGGGACCCACAGCCAACTGACGGGACCCCATATCCAACTGATGGGACCTCCATCCCACTGAGGAGACTCGCATACCACTGACGGGAATCACATCCCGCTGACCAGGGATCCATGTCCAACTGACCGGGGAGCCCACCTCCTACTGACGGGAGACCCTCCCGGCCCCCTGACGGAGGAACCAGACCCCACTGACGGAGGACCCAGATCCGACTGATGGAGGACCCAGATCCCAGAGCGGGGACCCACAGGTGAGTGGCCGGAACCCAGCCCCGGCGCTGCCGCTGTGCGGCGTGCAGGTCCGCAGCAGTAATTACGGCGGGATGGTGTCAGTGTGGCCGCGCAGCTGCGGCACAGCTCGTCACCGCCCGGCGGGCCGGCCACGGCCTCGGCCGCCGCGGCCGCCGCCTGACCTGGCGCGGCGGGCGCGGCTCACCACCCGCCAGATATTGACGGCACGGGCGGCGGCGGGACGGGGAGGGGCAGGGGGTGCGAACAAAGCCGCCCAGCTGAACAGTGAAGAGTGCAGTTGACGCCCGGGCGGCCGAGGTGAAGAACTGAGCTCCACGTGTCGGTGCAGTGGAATGGGGCGAATGTGCGACCAATCGAAGACAGAGAGATACAAAAAGAAGGCGAGACAGAGAGCGAGGCCGAGGTCAGAGATGGAGACAACGAACGTTTCTAGATCGGGAAAGAAAGGGCGGAGACAGGGACAGGGAGGAAGAGCAGGAGGGTAGGGGTGGGGGAGGGGGCAAGTCACGTCCTGGATGAATAGGACAAGATGGGCAAGTGACCGGAAGCGCGTAAGGACCAGTTTCGCTGTGATGGAGATGGCACCCAATACACATTATTTACACGTGTGTAACTTAGGGACACATTCACGGCCTTCATCTGACCAATAAATGTATCACGATGCCACCATGCTGACACAGCCGAGGCCTTTAAGCCGTTTTTGTCAACATCACAGGCAAAACCCGGAACGATTCTGATTTACTCATCAAACTCACGCAAACGCGGTTAGACTACCACCGAGCTTGCAACAGCCCTGCTGATAGCCAACGAGTCATCCCAGCTGTGAGCCACACCAGCAGATACCCACACCGGCCACCAGGCCGGCTGAAGAAGCCGTCCAGCCCACCGCGCTCGTCCGTCACCTACCTCCGATGACTCCGTACACCAGCATCAGCCAGGAGACGCTGCTGACCGTGGTCGAGATGAGGAACGCCGTGCCGGCCATGATGCCGCCGGCGATGGTCACCGGCCGACAGCCGTACACGTTCGTCAGTCCGCTGACGATCGGACCTGTCGGTACACGGACTCCTGGTCACCGGCCGACAGCCGTACACGTTCGTCAGTCCGCTGACGATCGGACCTGTCGGTACACGGACTCCTGGTCACCGGCCGACAGCCGTACACGTTCGTCAGCCCGCTGACGACCGGACCTGTCGGTACACGGACTCCTGGTCACCGGCCGACAGCCGTACACGTTCGTCAGTCCGCTGACGATCGGACCTGTCGGTACACGGACTCCTGGTCACCGGCCGACAGCCGTACACGTTCGTCAGCCGCTGACGATCGGACCTGTCGGTACACGGACTCCTGGTCACCGGCCGACAGCCGTACACGTTCGTCAGCCCGCTGACGATCGGACCTGTCGGTACACGGGCTTCCGGCCACCCGCCGACAGCCGTACACGTTCGTCAGCCCACTGACGATCGGACCTGTCGGTACACGGGCTTCTGGCCACCCGCCGACAGCCGTACACGTTCGTCAGCCCACTGACGATCGGACCTGTCGGTACACGGACTCCTGGTCACCGGCCGACAGCCGTACACGTTCGTCAGTCCGCTGACGACCGGACCTGTCGGTACACGGACTCCTGGTCACTGGCCGACAGCCGTATACGTTTATCAAAGCACTGAAAATCGAACATCTCGGTTGAAATAATCGAGATCACACTCTCTTTCATTCAGCCAGCTAACGATTGGGATAGTAGACGGTGCGGAGTCTCGCTGCGCTTATGATCAAAGTATTTGACAAACAATTACACTTATATTGAGCCATATACAGACTGGTTATAACTTTGCGCAGCCGCACGACCTATCAACACCTGCTGAACACACATTTGAAACGACCCGCGTACCGGAGCACACGATTCACACTCCTCCAGAGCCACCGGAGCGGTATCGCCCTGCCCGCTCTCACCAGCGCTGAGGTAGACGCCGTTCAGCAGACTGCCCACCCAGGCCACCTTGCCGACACCCTCGCCGAAGTACTCCACGAAGGCCGGCATGAAGATACCGAAGCTGTAAGCGATGCCGTCCACGATCATGTTGCAGAGGAAGGAGGCGAAGACGATGACCCAGCCGTAGCCTCCGTCCGGCGGGGTCGGCACTTCCGTGAAGTCCAGCTCGCCCACGTGCACGTCGGCGATACTGTCCCCTGCGGCCCACGAAGGAGGGCACAGGTCAGGGGGGCGGGGGTACTGACGCACGGGACGCCTGGCTGCCCAGGAGAGGACCGCACGGCCGCGCGCACTCCTGTGTGTGTGTGCGTGCGTGCGTGCGTGCGTGCGTTGCGTGCGTGCGTGCGTGTGCGTGCGTGCGTGCGTGCGTGCGTGCGTGCGTGCGTGCGTGCGTGCGTGCGTGCGTGCGTTGCGTGTGTGTGTGTGTGTGTGTGTGTGTGTGTGTGTGTGTGTGTGTAAAGCAGAGGGCACCGTGCCGCCGCAAGTCCCCGAGTAGAGGAGACGCCGGCTGACCCGGCGCTACGGGCGCCTCCGAACGGCGCGACTGGCAGGCACGTACAGCGGAGCACACACGAGTGCCGCGCCCCAGGCGGGGCGAGACGACGGCGTCTCCAACATACCGTACCGGAGCCACAAAGCGTCTTTTTAAACTACGTAACAACATGTTATCCGGAATGAGAGACCCAGACGACATCTGGAGACACAGGTGTCGTTCACGGCAAGTCAATAGCCGTAACAGGCCCGTAACAGGTAACAAGCAAGATGTAACGAACTTCAATGGCTACTTGTCATCATCGGTGACACACGCTCAACATTCGGGATTATTTTTCTACTTAACGGAAGCAATGTACCAAGACGCGATTCTCCTATCTGCCCAGGGAACCAGACATAAAGAACCCTTTCGGGCACATTTCCGTTTGAGGGTGGTGGGTCATCTGTGAGTGCATCAAGCTGCATATAACAACATAAGTTTCGCCTTGCTATGAGACACTCATCGCTTATTTGACGCCTCGTTTCACAGCATTTGGTGCCCATCATATTTCGCCTCAGCCATGATAGTGTGCTTGATGTATGCTACAGGGCTCCTGGCATTTCAGCCAGGTTCGTTCGTAACATGGCATAACCTTCTAAAGAAAAGTACAGCTTTTCTTGAGCTCGATTTTTAAGCAAAAGCACTTTCAGCTGGCAATGAGCCTTATGTGGTTATTAGATGAAGGAAAGTGGGGAGTGGTGAGACCAAACTACATGCGTTCTGGCAGCTCCCTGCTACCGACACCGCTCGGCGCAGGAACCCCTTCCGGGTTTCCGCGGGGAGTTCGGGCAGGACCCCCACCATGAGGGGGCGGGGGCCGTAAACCTGTTCGCGGCTGATGCATGCAGCGTGTCGGGAGATGGATGTTGCAGAGGTTCAGCATGAGGTGCGAATGAGGATGAAAGGCGAATGAACCAAGCAAACCTGTCCAAGAAAGAAGAAATCCAAACAACCATGCTTGGACCGAGGCCCAGCCGGCAGGCCTGGAGCCTTTGTCGGCTGGTCTGCTCTGTTAGCGCCGCTTCGCCTTAGCGGCAAGCCCGGAGCCTTTGTCGGCTGGTCCGCTCCCATAGCGCCGCTCCGCCTTAGGCTGCTTCCACGCGCAATCGATAGCGCCGCCAGCGAACAGCTGACGCCGAACAAGCGGGGCGACCCCGACACCGGGCCGCTGCTGCCTGCAGCCGGGGAAGCTCGCACAGCGGTCCGCCTGCCCGCCAGACGGCTGCGCTGGACCCGAGCGAGGCCACGGGACAGCCGGACGCCCGGCCCCGGCAGGACCAGGGCGGGATTCCGGGACCAGCAGGCGCTCCACCGGTCTTGCCCAGGCCGAGCATCCGGGACCAGCAAGCCCTTCACCGGTCCTGCCCGGGCCGGGCGTCCGGGACCAGCAGGCGCTCCACCGGCCGGAAACCGCGGCACTGCGGTGCTACAGAGCACATCGCGATTGTCGCCAGCCTCTAATTAGCACTGTCCTGTTTCTTGGCTGCGTGACGGCGTCTGGCGAACACCCATGGGAGGGATCAAGACCAGTGCTGGGTTATGGCCGTCGGCAGTGTATCTCGTTAGGCCGGTTGACCGCGCTTGCCATGCTACGTGAGCAATTGCCGTCATAAACGCCCATGCAAGGCGTCGCGCCGCCCTGTTGACGTGTGAGGGAGCTACATAACGGACCTCCGACCTTAAGAAAGCGATTATACCACAATGGCCGTATATGGCAGTTGCCCTCCCCCTCCCTTAAGCACATAGGAACGCATTTTGACATCAAACAACAAAGCAAGAAACTACCTAATTTTCCCCTTGCATCACCCGCAGCAATATAGACGCCCATATGAGTTATTTTGCGGAGAACTAAAGGGTGGAACGCTTCGACATGTTTGAGCCCTCACCGAACGGTGGCCAGGGGCTCCGAGTCTCGCCCAGGTTTCTCAGGAATAGCTCTTAAAGCATCAAAGGCATGGTGCTGAAATGTTCAATAACATGGTTTCAAGCACTAAATTACGTGAGTTCATCAGTGTATTAGCGAGGACATTATTCATATAGATAAGACGGTAGTATTAGCCTTATTCCTCGGAAAAAGAAACAGGAAAATGGAGATGTAGCTACGTTGAAATTTCGGCAACATGCCTTTATCGAAACAATAGCAGAAGTGTTCACTTCTGCTATTCATGCTACTCCTGTGGCAAAAGTCTTCACTTCTGCTATTGTTTCGATAGAGGCATGTTGCCGAAATATCAACCTAACTATATCTCACTTCTCCTGTTTTTTTCCGAGGAAAAGGCTAATACTACTGTCTTATCCATGTTTCAAGCTTTATCACACTTTTTGTCACAACTCTAAGTCCCCGCTACTCATAGATCACAAGTGAAGTGATGACTTCTGTGCAGGTGAAGTGGATTGCTTTCGCGGTCGGGCGGGTGGATGGCGCACGCCATCCGTAAAATATGCATTCGGAAGGACTTCCTGTAATTGTTTGATGCATGCTACCGTAGCACATTTTGATGCCGCCCTAGCATAACGAGAGGAGCTCGTCGCACCCACAAACCGGCCACTATACGCATACCATTCAGCGTGCCAAGAGCGATGCAGCCACCGCTCTCCTCGCTGCCACGACCATGGGCGTGATGACCACTGAGGTCGGCGGGTCCGGACCATGGGCGTGATGACCACTGAGGTCGGCGGGTCCGGACCATGGGCGTGGGTATGACCACTGAGGGTCGGCGGGTCCGGACCATGGGCATGATGACCACTGAGGTCGGCGGGTCCGGACCATGGGCGTGATGACCAATGAGTTCGGCGTGGTCCGGACCATGGGCGTGATGACCACTGAGGTCGGCGGGTCCGGACCATGGGCGTGATGGACCACTGAGGTCGGCGGGTCCCGACCGTGGGCGTGATGACCAATGAGGTCGGCGGGTCCGGACCATGGGCGTGATGACCACTGAGGTCGGCGGGTCCCGACCGTGGGCGTGATGACCACTTGAGGTCGGCGGGTCCGGATCATGGGCATGATGACCACTGAGGTCGACGGGTCCGGACCATGGGCGTGACGGCCACTGAGGTCGGCGGGTCCGGACCATGGGCGTGATGACCACTGGGGTCGGCGGGTCCGGACCATGGGGGCGTGATGACCACTGAGGTCGGCGGGTCCGGACCATGGGCGTGACGGCCACTGAGGTCGACGGGTCCGGACCATGGGCGTGATGACCACTGAGGTCGGCGGGTCCGGACCATGGGCGTGATGACCACTGAGGTCGGCGGGTCCGGACCATCGGCGTGATGGCCACTGAGGTCGGCGGGTCCGGACCGTGGGCGTGATGACCACTGAGGTCGGCGGGTCCGGACCATCGGCGTGATGACCACTGAGGTCGGCGGGTCCGGACCACAGGAACGTTTGGGACGTTTTACACTTCAGGTGTCTAACCCATATACAAAAGGCACGAAAGCAGACAAAACCTCAGATGTTGTCATGTGTTAACGCTGTCCACTACAGGACATAATTATGAAGTCATTGCTATGTCTTAATTCTGTAATGCCTCCTCGACGGGCTAGTCTGACTCTTCAAATCCACTCCCACTGACAGAAATATTTCGCACACTTTTGAGTAGCCGACCTTATGACGTTCTTCGCTAGGCTCCAGCGTGTTTGGTTTCCAGACAAGAAGGGGATCCGTCGGGCCTCATCGTTTGACAAATGTAAGTAAAACACCTGCTCGGTGCGGGTTACGGGTCATCTGGCACGTGCATCATATTATACGCGGTACAGTACCGCGTATAATACACAGGTGAATTATACGTGGTACTGACTTCACTCAGAATCTACTTCTGACAATGTCCACTTCGAACCCAGCAGTCTGTACGTTGCATATATTTCACAGCCAATTTGACGGCTGTAAAGGAAAACCAATGCCCTGTTATCTGGGATCTAGAAGAAACTGCGTCTGCAGCGTAGCTTGTCGCTCTGAACTTGACTGCTAGCTGGGCAGTTTTTACCACGACCACATCAAAGGTCTTTCAAAGGTCACATCAAGGGCCATTCGATCCTAATGTCTGACCTTTTGACCTCAACCCGTCCCGGTGTCACACCGCCACAAGATCTCCGCACACTGTGCAGCGAAGACGGAGCAGTACGAGCATCTTGTTGTTTTTTCTGTGAACTCTTTCTAGCTGTTCCATGTGGAGTAATTCTCTTTGCCAACAAGAGCAATTTCCAGCAATGTTCTTCTCCCATGGAGAGCCGTCGCCACTTTCCGTTGCTAAGACTTCGTGTTTTGTGAGAGTGACTGAAGAGTGGGAGTGCGGAACGGGAAAAGAAAGACTTTGAAAAAGGACAGCCGGGCCCTACGTCCACTGAGGTCCCTGCAGCCATTACAATGCTGTCGTATCCACACTTGATCCTTGATCAGAAAAGCGTTCATGTTGTAATCGTCATGACTTGTATGAACTATGTGCATCTCTGTGCGCATGCATAGAACAACACATAAGCTGTCTTGTTGAGAACTGTTGCACATTTTGGACAAATGTTAAAGGCGAATATCGGAAGGGGAGGGGAAGCGGACATGCCTCTCCGAAGCGGTGCAAGACATCACGCCCTATAGATCAGCATTATTGCAACTAAGCCTGCGGCGAGGCCAGTTGTGTCCCACTCTCCAATTGTTGTCGACATCTAACCAACGGTTCATTTCGTCACAACCCCACTCGAAAAGGCACGCAAATTAATCAACGTCGATGGTGGGTAAAGACAGAAGGATGTTCGCGCATTTCTGGCCCTAGCTCACACCACTCGCAGCTGTTTGCCCTTTCATCGATCAAATATACGATTTTTACTTCGTGGCTGACATCGTTTACAAACATGCGGCATACCCTGCCAGCTTGTGACGTCCACGTCCCGTGCTCGTACATGGTTGTTTGAATATTCCAACGCGTTGTAATCCAATAAGACGGTGACATGGGGTCATTAAACCATCATAAGTAATCTACGATTGATACCCACGTTCAAAATCTGGCCCGCGCTAACCAGGAGTAACGCGATCGGTTTATTTTGATCTCTAACTCAGTGAAAAATGATCATGACCTAACGTTCATCTCAAAACCAGGTAAGCTTTCTTCCGCTTGTGTCCCGCAGACAAACGCATGCTGTAATGTCGGGCCTTTTGCAAGCTCCTTTGAGTAGAGCCAACTCACCAGAGCGTACCCTCACACTCGTTAACATGAATCACTGTTTACATATTTCCGATGATCTGCGACGCCGCATTTACATACAAGAGCTTCAGTGTGTTGGCGCATCGATTAGCGCGTAAATTTTTCGGACGAAAATGCTCTTGTCTTCGGAGATATGCAATTCGGGCCGAGTGAGACAAACTCCATTCGCTCGCGGTGAACGCCTTTACGCGGTGCCGGCTAGCCAAAACCGAGGTGCCATAACAAGCCAAGTCTGAATCCCACTGGTTTGTTTTAGGCAGCTTTCAGGCGTAAGTCCAAAGAAGGCGCATCCTTTTGAAGAAAACTGCCCCGCAACCGTGATGCTATGAAGTCATCATCATCATCAAGAGAGTATGGTCCAACAGCCATAGTGGCAAACAAACAAACAGAGAATTAATACACCATCGGAGAGTAGCCCTACAACATAATATCCTGACCTCGAGTGACCGTGTCAATGCCGTTGTGTACAGCTTACTGCCACCGGCACGTTCCCGCATGCGGCACGAGTGCCCGTGAGCGAGCCCGCCGCCGTCCGCCGTCCACGCGTGCCCTGTCGACGGGCTGACCGCGCCGGTAGCGTCTTCGCCGGGGCGGCCAGACAGGGGCCGGCGAAACGCTGCGGTCCTCCCAGCCGTCGTCAGCTGCAACGCTCTCCACACAGGTGCCGACACGGCCGTCAACGACACGCAGTTAACGCGGCCCGCTGTTTGGCAGCTCGTGGCTAAGTGTTCATTGTTGCAGCGCCGTCCCACCCGTGGGCCGCGCAGTGTCAGGCGCCGCGGCCTGGTCCCTGTCGGCCGGACACCGTTTACGCCGCCCCAGATGTCTCATTCATCTCGGCCAGCAAAACAGCCGGCTAAAGCCAACAATGGCCGCAGTCGCCGGCCGAGAGTGCCGGCAGACACGCGGCGCCTGTACAGTGTACACCACTGACCGTCATCGGGTGTACACGGACGCCGCCGCGGCCGGCGCCGCGGTCGGCGGGGACGGGCGGCAGCCGGCGCGCCGGCGCGCGACCCCCGGTATCCGCGCTCAGTGGAGCCTCACGTGAGCGCGAGTTCTCTACAGTGGCACCGATCAGCGACGCCACGAAGACAGATTGCAGTCGAATACTTCGGTCGAAAATTGCACGCATGCCGGTTCCACAAAGATAACGAAAGGCCACCATGCATGGCGTCGAAAGGGTGTCGTTCTATCCTGAGAACGGTGGGTATGCTCCATATCCGATCATTCCCAAGGGCCTGAGCTGATGGTCTCCAGCCCAGCCGTGTTCCGGTCGGCAGTATCTCTCGATAACGAGCCGGCCTGGGCTGCTGAAAACCATCGCCCGCCCCCGCCCTCCTCCCACAGCCCGGCTGTACAGATTTCCACTGGTCCGCGGCATAATGGAGGGCCTACATCTCAGCCGAATGCAACGTTACGGCGCTAAAGCGACGTTCCTGCAATAAGCTCCATAAGCAAGATCATACAATCGACCTCCGGAACACCTACGCTACATCATTTCGTCTCACATAGTTTTCACAGCACCCAGAACGAAGCTTACGCCACGCGGATTCCCATCAGCGCAGGCGGCCCCCGCCCGAGAAGCGGCACTGGCGTGGGCTCGCTGCCCGGAGCCGACGCCCGCTCGGTCCCCCCCCTTGTCTGACGCCGGGCGGCGCCATCGGCGAGGACGGCGACGACGGGTTGGAGTTCTCATCGTGGCGAATGCCGATCACGATGCCTTTCTCGCCCTGCAGAAAGAAGGGCGAGCCTCAGAACGGGCGAAACAGAGACAAGTGGCACCTCTCACCGCGGCTCAGAACACTGGCAAATGAAAGATACAGCTTAAAGCAAGGGCGTAAAACAGCACAGCATGAACCACGCGATTTAAAATAAAAGAACGGGAAAACAGCCCCGCCGGATGAAACAAGACGGCAACCGCAGCAAGACAGCAGAGCGGACGACAAAGCTCCAGCAAAAGCCAGAACGTAACCAAAGACGACAGCGTTAAGTGGCGCGCGCGCTGTGCTCCTGCGGCCGTCTGCAGCACCGGACTTCCCGGCCGGAACGACTGTCAGCGGTGCCACCAGCGGACGGTGCACCGGATTTCCCGGCCGGACGACTGTCAGCAGCGGCCGCCAGCGGATGGTGCACCGCCGGTGGCCTGCGGCGGTGACCTCCGGCGCCGCCGTCGGCACGCGTCCCGACGGTCGCCGGTGACACGGCGGCGGGCGGGCCGCGCCCGGCAACGCTCGGTCGCACGGCACGCGCCGGCGCCCGGCCGAGCCCCGCACGCCTCGCACGGCACGGCTGGCGGCTTCGACGGTGGAAGCGCTCGGGGACGGACGACTCGCTCTTACGCTCAGCCGTCAGAGGGGCGGCCGGGTCGGCCGGGGCGATCCTGCCGCCGACACGGCCGTGCTAAACCCGGCGACGGTTCTATTTCAGCCGCTGTGCGGCACCGGAGCCTTCGCTCTGCTCCAATCTAGCGCCGCGTCAAGCCGAAAGGCCACCGTATCTAGCGGCTTGGCCGGCATCCTAACATAAGATGAAAGGTTTCTATCGCATCATTCCATCTGAAAGCCCACTAATAGAGCCGAGGCTGTCACGCGAGACAAGTGGCACACGTGTCATGGTTTCTCATGGGTTGTAAGGATAGGACGCTTGTTCAACATATTTAAACGACTAAAATGAGGCTTTTGGCGAGTTGTTCAGCACTTTCCGTTTGGAGTTCACTCGACATTGACTAGCAGCATGCAGTCAACCATGCCGCAGATCGCGAGATGGCCAGGACATAGTATCATAAAGCGAGTTCACGAACCAAGAGTCACCGAATTCACGAAGTGGTTACTTGCGAGGCGTACGCAAGTCAACTCACCAACGGCATCCATCGGAAAATCGGTAGTTCTTGGTTTGATCGGAAGTGGTAGACTCGCTTTAGTGCTGACTTGCATTTGCTTGCATATAGGAAAAATAGTGAAGACACTGAACGTCAAAGCATACTTCATTAAAATCGGGAATAATTCGGAAATTATGCCTGGGACAACCTCAGTAATCGCGAACCAAAACATCAAAAACATCGTCCTATTCCGTTAACAAGTGCTCCAAATCGTCATCGACTTCACCATAATGCTACTTCAGGCAGGGGTTGTCTTTAAAAAAATGTTATGCTCCGCTGCACGATAGCCCGATTCTACTCAACGATAACTGCGGGTCGCCCATACACTGTTTTAAGCATAAACGGGCAGGGTTCTTTTGATTGGGTGTAACCGTAGCTACCAATAGTAATGGGCGCTGGATTGGAGGGTTCGACAACGCACCGTGTTAGAGTCGGGTGTCGTTGACAATCACGTTATAATCGTTCAGAAATATTTTGAAAAAACAAAGCCTGAACAAACGGATGTTTCCCTTTAGGGTACTAAGCTAAACACAGCGTCACCAGCGGTGAGGGGTCGTCCTTTCTGACCAGTGCGTAACCGGAGGGCATAGTTACACAATAGCCAAAATGCAAAGGTAAATTACGAACGAACCCTAGCTAAGCCATTGTTCAACATACGAGCTCACGTGATACGAAAATTCCAGAACAAAGCACAGTCCAGGTAGGACTCCTCATGAAATATTGTCGTGTTTCATTCCATAATGTAACCTCAAAAGTTCAGAAGCCTTAACTTAGTGAAATTCTAGGCCCGCCCTAGGCACATATCGTTATGAGTTATGTGGGACTGTTTAATTTCACTCTTGATTATTACTTATACTAATACTCATCAAAAAAACATATATGAATCGTGGTCAGGTGAAAACACCGGTTCTGAGATGAGGAACACTGTTGCCTTCCGGATTTAACGATGATAGTTGATAGCATCTTACCTACTTAGGTAGGTAGGCAGGCAAACACCTAGCCCCCTACCTATATACCTTGTCACATTAAACGTGATATCATCATCGGCATCATCAAACGGGTAGCTGCTGTCGGTATTTGTATTACATTGACGGCTCATTGCCATTAAATTGTGATTATTACATTATGGCTTTACAATGACGCTTCTCATCCATTTCACACCGTTCAATAGTAAGAATGAAACGATCTCCAGCTAACTCTAGGTCCAAAACATCGTCGGAAATGTGGCTTGAGCTTTTGTATCCTCCATCTGCCGCCAACATCGGCCAGGAACTCAAGCCAATGACAAAACACAGAGCATGAACAGCATGTCAAGAAAATATCCTCACTTATTATGACCACCTAACTATAGAACAACAATCATGAATGCAAATTGTCACACATGCTGTGGCCGCTGCTCGCTGCCTTGACTGTCAATCGCCAATACATAATGTTGAGGGCTGGAGCTCACATCTCAAATATGCCATACATCTTATGGGAGTATCTGCCGTTTTTCGCACCTTTCTTGCCTGTGACCCGGATACTTACAGAGGATAATGTGACCCGGCTGCCTACGGAGGAGAGCGTGACCCGGCTACCCACGGAGGACAGTATAACACCACCATCCATGGAGGACAGCAAGACCCCGCAACCTTTAGGGGCAGCGTGGTCCGGCTACCCATGGTGGACAGCATAGCCGCGCTACACATGGATGACGGTTGCAGCCCAGCTACCCATGGGAACGGCGGTAATCGGGCTACCTACAGAGGGCAGCGTGACCGAGCTGCCTACGGCGGAACAGCGTGGCCGGGCTACCTACAGAGGGCAGCGCGGGCCGGGCTACCTACGGCGGAACAGCGTGACCGGGCTACCTACAGAGGGCCAGCGTGGCCGGGCTGCCTACAGAGGGCAGCGTAACCGGCTACCTACGGCAGGACTGCGGTGCTCGGCCAGGAACGGCTCCAGCTCCACGGGCTCGTCGTCCACCTGGTGTTCGGAGATGGTGCGTAGCCGGGAGCGCGGCGTGCCGCCCTCGCGCGACCGCCTCGGAGGTGGTGCGTGTCCGGCGGCCCGGCACGGCCACCGGCGCCGACGCGGAGGAGGCCATCGTGGCGCGGCGCGGCGGACACTGACGTGCTGCCGCCGCAGGCCGCTCCTATCGCCCCCACCGGTCACTATCGGCTGCCGTTGCAGATACGGCTCGAGTGGACGGCGGCCACTATACCGACCGCGCAGCGACGAGCGGCGAGCGGGAAAGCCGGAAGGGGCGAGGCCGGGGGCGCCTGGCGACGGACCACCGGGGCGGAGTTCGGCCACCAGCTGCGCTGCCACGGATCGGACACCGACACAGACCTCTAACCGAGAATCCTGAGTACTCCAAGGCTTGACGACTGCATGATGTCTCAAACCATCGCCACACAGACCTCCGACCGAGAATCCTGAGTACTCCAAGGCGTGACGACTGCATGCTGTCTCAAACCATCTCCACGTTTCGTTTTTGAAGGCATTTTGGTTGCTGGTGCGTTGCTGGTGCTTGGTTTGTAGACCATGCCATGCAAACGTAAATCGGTATAAAATATTCCCGGAGTGTTACCATCCACAATTATCTGATAATGATATGTTAGGCATTACCTGATTAGGAAGACCCTTACACAGCCAACCGGTCATAGTTAGACGTGGCGAAAAAAGAATCCCCGATGCACAATAATTCAAAAGATGCAGTTTACCACCCCCAAAACTTTTCAGAGCAATGTCATAGTGTGTAACACAGAGGGCACGGCCGCCACGGATACCCAGCTCACCCAGTCAAGTCATTACTCTCGCGTACAGAAGTCGTGGAAAACATCCGATGGCCATGCTTCATAAATTAGTAGCCCTCAAAAATCGCGAGGCATAAGTGACCTTCTTTGACAAGGCCTGAACGAAGCGTTTCTGTTGAGTATGCGGGTCGACACGCGGTCAGCCTCCATTGATTGTCAGAAAGCCGACGAGGATCTTCCCGAGGACACCAAAAGCGCGCGCGGCCGAGGGAAGATTGTTCAACGAATGCTAATCTCTCCGATAATCATCCACGCAGATTTTCCTTTCACGTTCGGCAGGTTCGAAAATGATCCACTAGTTTTGTCTCACATGCACTATACATGGCCAGCGGTCATAGATAGGCATGTTGAAAAATAATCCCCCGCCTTAATATGTTCTTAAAATTACCCAGGGTTTTTGCCCTGCACGGATCATTATCTGCGATATTTCTCCGTGTTGGCAGTGCCGAACATTACTCCGGAAAATTTCCCGACGTTGCGGATAATTCTTCGAGATAAACTGTAGCCAGAACGCGCCCAAGACTTCGGAAAGAAGATGATGGGGAGAGGGTGGGCGTCAATTCCGGATCAGACCGGTACAAACGGGCACGGGCCGGACCTTGGACTCCGCACAGCTCCGCCGGCACGCCCACCCGGCCGCCGCGCGCCCACGTACAGCTGACTAACCCTCGGACAGCAGACAGCCCGCAGACATAGAGAGCTAGCCACGCTCACGTGCAGGTAACTGCCCTCAAACGGCAGACAGCCGGCAGACATAGGCAATTGGCGGCCCCCACGCCCGCGAACAGCTGATTGGCCCTAAGACAGCAGACAGCTGGCAGACACATACAGCTGGCCACATCCACGCGCAGCCGATTGACCCTAAGACAGCAGGCAGACAGCAGACACAGACAGCTGGCTACGTCCGCCTGCAGCTAACTGACCCCCAGGTAGCAAACAGATGGCGGCCTCACGCCCGCGAACAGCTGACTGACAGGCATGTGGACGAAATATCAATGCATGTATATCTCGTTTCTCCTGGATATCCGACAAGGAATGTTAACAGTACCGTCTTACAAAATAAAACAGCTTTAAGCGACACCTATCCCCTCTAACAAGGGCGGTACTTTGCTCTGAGCAGACGAAACACGGACGAAGCGCGCCGACGACCAGCGGGCGCACCAGAACGAAACACAAGGAGATGCCGCATGATTCAACGCCGCCGAGTTCAACCACCCGGGCGTGCTGTGTCTGGCCGAGCCGGCAGACAGCGGTCAGCTGGCGGGGAGCCAGAGCACCTGTAGCGTGGCTCGGGGAAACTCCGCCCCCGCCCGCCCCCGCCAGCGACCCTTCTGCGATTCAGTTTGGATGCTGCGATTCTGCGACTCAGTTTGGATGCTGCGCCAAACGGGCATCACTCGAGTGATGGCGTCAGTGCACACACGACGGGCCCCGCGTGGGAGAGGCGCGCACTAGAGCGAGCTCGCGCCGCCCGCCCGAGATCGACTCGGAAGGAACTGTCGCGCGCTACAGGCCGTGGTCGTCTCGGCAGCCCGTGTCTTCGGCCGACGGTGCGCGCTCGGTCTGTTTGGCCGGCTGCCGCACTGGCACGTCTTGCACGCAAACAAACCGCCAGCTATGCCACGGGTCACGTGGTTCATCCAGCCGAACGTGTCCGACTGGCAAAGCTGTACATGCACACGGGACCAACGCCGCATTAATCAGCGAGTTCGAAGTAGAAATGACGTGAAGTAATAGTAATGTGCATACGCCATGCTTTGGGTGTCAATGATACCAAAACACTACGCCGAAGCGTGGGTCCTTGCTCACTTCTGCAAGGCAGTCACACAAAGGGGTCGCATCACTGGTGAAAATAACTGGACGACGCAGTGCGACCCACATTGGACTTCTAGGTAGCGACGTAGCCAGAAACAAACACATCTGTGATCTAGTTAGCGAGCGCAAGGATTCAATTTCACCACCAGAACGAGTGCACGAATAAGACACGTGCCACCAGCCGTCCGGACGTCGGGGACTGCAGGTCCCCTACTCAACGGCTTCTGGATGGCCGTCAACGGCCCGCGCTAGGGTCCAGCTTGCGCGTGTATTCATAAAAGGGGGCAGGGTCAAGCGAGGACTTAAAGTGTGGATTGTGTGCGGTCGTATATGCCCGCTGCGTAGCAATTTTAGTGGGCTTTGTGTCATCGCTTTGTGGTAAGAAAGCGAGTGGTAAGAAAAGTGTGTGTGTGTGTGTGTGTGTGTGTGTGTGTGTGTGTGTGTGTGTGTGTGTGTGTGTGTGTGTGTGTGTGTGTGTGTGTGTGTGTGTGTGTGTGTGTGCGTGCGTGCGTGCGTGCGTGCGTGCGTGCGTGCGTGCGTGCGTGCGTGCGTGCGTGCGTGCGTGCGTGCGTGCGTGCGTGCGTGGGCACGTGTGAGTGCGTACGTGTGCGTGCGTGCGTGCGTATTGTAGTGAAATGAAACGTGTTTTGCACCTCCCAGTCTCGCTTCGTTAAAGCGTACGCAATAATATTTTTGAAGCCAGATTACAGCATTACGGAAGGATTGAGTCGAGGGATTGGTGATAACATACATGAGTATTAACATGACAAACATGTTCTGTTAGTTGTTATACTTGTTATTGTTAAGACCATCCTCCTCGCCTGTTGTGCTGATAGGTATACAACGCTTCCGCCAGGTAACTCCCTGACCGTTGTCAGATGTTGTGGAGTCGTGAGCACGACTAGGTGATGTTTAATTTTCAACCAGGTGCTGCGTCAAAACCCGAATTCTCTCCTTGGAATTCTGGGATTCGAACCAGGATTTTCTGATTGCGAGTCCTGTTGCACCAACTGAGGAAACCCGGAGGGACCGGTCAACCGTACCGTCCTTCGAGCCACAGAACTAACCGTCTTTCCGGTTAGCTCAATTGGTGCAGCAATGGACTCCCAATAAGAGGATCCTGATTCGAATCCCATCAATTTCAAGAAGATAATAGGTCAGGCTGTGACGCGTACATGGCTGAAAATAAGGTATTGTTCAGTCATCCAGAAGACTCCCACAATACCTGACGACGGCCGTGCGGATCCGAACGTGGCGTACATACTAGCACGCCAGACGGGAACGGCAGCCCAAACAATGACTTAATCCGCGATGCTTTTACTTTGGCAAGCAAGTGCAATTGTTAAGCATCGTTGGCTGGCTGGCTTTCGTCGCACTTATTCCCATTTGGTCCCATATGACAACTGCTCCCACCACTAGTTCGAAAAGGAAAAGAATTAATCTAAACATAATTGAAAACGCATCCTCACCCCAAGCGCCGACATATAGGATCGTACACTGAAGCCCAGGCTTATGCAGCACTCATTATCACGGTCGTTACACGCTGATGTCGCATCAGCCGATCATTATATCCGCCGTCGCGATCGGATCAATGGCACGTCGCGATGTTAATGCTGCGCGACGAACATGAGCAGCCTGGCCGTGGTGCGCCAATACCGGCTTTCCGGCGAACAGTCGGCCCCGCGGCCGAGCGGCGGCCAGCTGGCGCCGGTACCGAGGCTCGGCGCCGCCGCGAGGCACTCTCGCCTGCTCCAGCCACCACAGACCGACGCACTCCGACACGGGACGAACGGGCACCCGTGGAGCTACGCCTGGTACCGAGGCTCGGTGTCGCCGTGAGGCAGCCTCTCCTGCTCCAGCCACCACAGACTGACGCATTCCGACACGGGAAGAACGGGCACCCGTGGAGCTACGCCTGGTACCGAGGATCAGCGCCGCCATAAGGCACCCTCGCCTGCTCCATCCACCACAGGCTGAGACACACTGACACGGAACGAACGGTCGCCAGCCGGCCTGTTTCCTCGCGGCCAATGGTCGGACGGGTGGCCGGCCAGCCCGGGCGCCCGGCGGTCGCTGTCGAGCGGCTCGCCCGCAGCCGCCGCCGCCCCCACAGCGGGACCGGCAGCGGCAGTCGTGAGCTCGGTGACCGGTCACCGGTCACCAAGCGGGCCTGCTCGCCGGCGACGGCCGCTGGCGCGGTCGATGCCGTCGAGCCAGGGGCGGCCATCGATCCGGCCAGCTCGCCTCCGCCGGCGGCAGGGTCCGTCCCGCCGCGCGCCGGAGCGACCTCCCGTCACCTGGCGCCGTCCTCAGCTGCCGGGTCCCGCGGCGGCCGGCTACCGTCGCGTCCCGTCGGCCGGCCCGGGCCCGCCAGCGCAGTCCCCGCGTCTGAACGGCACGGCGCGGCCGGCGCGAAGGATCGGGCCCCACTCACGGGTCAGCCGGTCACCAGGTGCCGGCAGGCGAGTGGCCGCGTCCCGCCGGACGGCGCCGGCCGGGAGCGGTGCTGACCCGCTCAATGGCATGAGTCATGCGGCACCGGGCGGCGGACAGGCATAGCTAGAACTGTCAGCAGGTTGCAAGCCTCAGCACTTGCATCTGCGGTGAATAATGTGCGAATTTTTAATCACTTCAGGCCATTGGTAGGGAAAGTATCGGAACGCGCTGAACGATGACTGACGCATCACAATGTTGAAAAGATAATTCCATTTATTGTTCCTCCGTTGATCCCTTGACACTAGATGTGGACATCCTCGTTACCGGCAGTAACACATTACTGCGAAAATCAGTCAATAATAACGAGCAATTTATGTCTATCAAATGCACACATATTTACCAATTGAACTGTTTCCGGCTGCTTGCGTTTCTAATTTAGGTCAGTCAAGTGCAACCAAAATTTTCATTTGAGGCTTTCCGGACGTGAACATTTATTCACACTTTCGGAAACATTTCGAAATATTTCAAAGCATTGAAGCGAAGCAAGCGTTCGGAAAAGGGCCCTTACTCATACTGACAGGACCCGGGGATGCGCACAGCCTCGGCAACATTTCCTGGCCGGGGCGGGAAATCCTATTAAATCGTTCCGATTGCATTAATAACGTACGCATGGGTCGATACCACAGTTCGAACTGCCAAAGCTCGACTTCTCAGGCTCAACTCAAATGTCGGGACGCGGCTACACTCCGTAATTACTGACCTACATCCCACACCACCAGGTAAGTCCCCAGCGGACGCTGACGCTCGTGACCCGCTGATTGCACCGTAAGGTCCCCGCAATAACAGCCGATTTAATGCATTTCTCGTCTGAAAGCGGTATCAGCGAGCACCAACATCTGTAACATAATGGCAGCCGCGAGTCTAGCGCCGACAAGCCGATAGTCAATTCGTAGACGGGACTAGACCACAGCAACTAAGGGGACGTCATGGCCTCAGGGCATTCAACCATTCAAAGACAAGAGGACGGCAGGGATGATGATATGTACGTGACCGTAAAGGTAGTATTAGTGACACCCTTTCGAAAATTGCAGTGATAAAGTTTATCTTGAAAAGAGACAATGCCAACCGCAACTGTTCTGGTGCCGCGAACCTCCTACAGCTGGAGGCCTCGCTTTGTGTCATGCTATGCCACGCCACGCGCAGGCGCGCCGGAGTCTCGCCTCGAGACCCAGGCCCCAGGAGCGGCGTCCACCAGCGGATCGCAGTACAGCGCTGCTCGAGACGGTGTCAGGGGCGCGCGTCCTGCGAGCCCGAGACCAAAGGAGCGGCCCAGCGGTGTGCCAAACAGCATCACGGCAGCTCCTCTTGCGGGAAGGAGCCCCAGCACCGAGCCAGCGATGGCGCGCGCGCGCGTGGACGGCCGCGCGCCGGGCCGCCACAAGGACACTGACCTCCTCGTAGTCGTGCTCGGCGGCCTCCGAGCCGGGCACGTTTGCCCATGACTGTTACTGGGACGGCGCCGCGGGCCGCACTGCCGCCGGCGGCCGGCGCCGTCCAGCCGCGCGGCACCGGACTGACGTCAGCAGCCGGCGCATCACGTCGCCGCTCGCCGCACACGGCGCACTCACAGCCGGGCCGGCCAGAGCCCGCCCGGCCAGCCGCCGCCAGCGCGCAGGCGCCCGTCGAATCGATGCTGGCGCTGCGTCGGGCGCGGCGCGCGCCGGCCGCCACCTGAGGCCGGACACGCGCAGGGTGACGGCGGCGGCGCCGGCCTGCAGTCGGCATCGCCCCACCATGACGCCGTCGGCGCTCACCTGACTCAGCTCAGACGGGACGGAGGCGGCGGCGGCGGCGGGGCAGAACTGATACGGCTGACGCTGACCGTCAGCTCTCACCCCTTCCTGCGCCCGACGGAGGCGCCACGCGATCTCCAGTCATCGCCGAAGAGCGTGCCCGCAATTCGTACCGATAGTCGAATTACTGACCATTAAGACTTCGGTATATTATGATAGACCTCATCTGAAGGGTATAAACAACCATTTTACAGCTTAAATACACGGCGCTTCCTCAGCTCCTCGGACTAGGACTAAATCTGCGAACAAGTCTGCGGAGGTTGACGAGACGGTTATGCCAGGATGCCCCACCGTACAGACCTGACGTACCAGCTTAGACGTACGTAAAACAAACCGACATCGATCGCAGAGCTATACGTTCAATGTATATCGCCCACGCTAGATTGGGCTAGCAGAACAAAGGATGAGTCACAACCTTCGGGCCTGCTCCCAAAACCTACTGGAATAAACGTTCGGAAACAGTTCCCATAATGTGATGCAAACACGCACCGACATTACGTACAGAACGATACTTGCTAAATATTGTAATCTATCTCCGACTCTAAAAAGCTTGGCCACAATTATGGACACCACTATCAACACTAGGCTAGGATTGATATCATAATATGGTTATTCATGCATCTTTTATCTTATATGGTTATTCCTCAATTTCACCGTCACGTCGCGCTTGATGAATGAATGACAAAAAGGTTTCTGCTACCCCGAAATCCCGATGCAGGCCGGTTTGAGCTGGTTTAGGAGCCCGTGCGCCACGGCGCCCTTGCGTTTCGTACAACCCAGGATATAGCAACAACCACGGGGAAAGGTGCCAAATGCTGAAACGCATTCCACTGACCCAGCTTCACCTTGTTTTTGAGGTCAACCGAAGTGATGATGTGAAGAGTAATGTTTAACACGACTGTGGGTCAATCGTGAAGAGGTCACTTCCTTTCATTTGTATAATGTACTGACATGGCGATAACACGAGGAAATTAGCCTGTTCATCCAACCGACTGAAATGATCATTAGTGTCACCGATGAAATAATTGTTCGGAATGGCAGCCCCGTTCGACCTGTTGATAAGTACCCAACGTTTCGGCTAGTCAACTATCATGCCGTTGTGAGGTGTTCTTACATCTCGCGGAGGACTGGATGGTGTTTGACTTTCAGTCATGTAGCGCCACGACAAGAGTTTCATTTATCGGCACTGCCTGGATTCGAGCCGGCGTCTTCTGATCACGAGTCAGGCACTCGACCTACCAAGCTGACCTGAGGCGCTGGCCTCCTCGGTCAGCCCAGTGTGTCGGGAGCACTAACCTTCCCGATGATCCCAGTGGTAGAGCACTGGATTCGTAATCGAACACCCCGGTCCAAGGGACGGGAGCCGAAGGAAAGCCAACAGAAACGGTACCACTAACTCAGAGAAAGAGCTTACCAGGAAGCATCAGCAAAATCTGCAGACAGTGCATAGCTAGGAGCCTTCAGAAGCAGCTCAACGCTCCGAAGAGCACTAACCAAAGCCAGACCACCGACACCCAAGGAACAAAAGAATAAGTGCATATACGACATACGCAGTGGTGCCAGGTTCCACAAAGGCACACAACCCTGTGTTGATCGGACAGGGAGAGCACAAAAGCAAACCATCCGGGGTGGACTCTTGGTCCAATGTGGTAGAACACGCATAGCCACCGATCAGCATGGGATGATATAACCATCGTCAACAGAGATCAAACTGAAATTTTACAGCTTGACATGACCCGACATAACAAAGAAGTGTTGTTAACTCCTGTTTTTGGCGGTGTTAGAGTTATTATGTTAGCTATCGACCTTCGATATACCAAGGAATACTGGTTAGACGACCTACGTTGAGGAGCAAACAGTGGTTATATTGGAGAACTCGACGTTTCGAGCTGTGCATATGACCATGAATGATTCTTTGTCAATTAAAAACCGATGCTTCCATTAAACCGGCGTTCAACCAGCACCTTCTGGTCAATTGAAATCGATAATTCAGCACAAAAACTCTGAAATCGTAAACATTGCGGAGGCATCACACATAACATTTGCTAACAACCCCAATGGTACGCTAAACGCAGCCATCAGCCCAGTACGGCCCATGCACAGGCGATATTTAATGACAAGTTCCAACACTGACATGCTGCCCTTTCCGGTTAGTTCAGTTGGTGGAGCACTGGGCTCGTGATCACACGTTCCCGGCTCGATCCCAACAATTCCAAGCAGAGCATGTGATGCGTATATGGCTGAAAGCCAAACACCATCCAGTCCTTCTCATGACTCAATAGCACCTAGTGACGACCAGGAAATTACCTGGCCAAACTACTGAATACATAACAAGACACTAGACGGACGGTGATGACAGTCCGGTTCATCCATCCGTGATACTAATGCCTCGTCTCAAGTTCCTTAATCTTTCCGTACATAAGTAACTGCCAAACATTCACCAGACTGACACATGGCAACTTTTGGCGCGCGCTTTCATAAAGGCGTTATGATCTCTATCTTATCTGTTATGTCTCAGCCGGGGATACTGTGGCGGATTAGGTACCACAGAGATTTAGATATGATTTCTTCGCTTCCACTAACTGCTAATGCGGATTACCATGGTGCTCACCTGACTATAGCAATTTTGTAACGAAGTTGGTTAAAAGCAATGATTTTGTAGAACGTAAATTGAACTGTGTAACATAACTAACATCTTAAGAGTGGTGACCCGCACGCCAAGACAACAGCTGAAACAACAGTTCGCCACAGCAACAGTCCTTTCAGAAATTATTGATCTTTAGAGCAGACGTACGCTGAGATTTAGAGCTTAGTTCTGCGGACAACATGCATGCCTATAGTCACACACAAGGATTTTCGAAAGGCGGCTCCAGATCTTCACAGGTGCGTTATTCCAAGTGGCCCGCCTGAGTCCGCTCATCGATGACCGAGCGTGGAAAGTCGCGTATTACGCCAGGCAGCAAACCTTGCCCTTTAAAATCTGGTGACATTCTCGGGAAGGTGGTACCTTCCCGACCTTTTTGGTCTGGCAGAGGACTGTTTGCTCGGAAAATAAGAAGAAAGGTCACAATGTGCAGCATAACGCCGACTAACGGCTGCCGGTAGCGTAGTAATTAAGAAGCACGTCTAGGAAACGAGAGGTGATGGGCTCCATTCTTCGCAGCGCCCGCCCATTCTGCCAGGAAGAGACAGGCGGCATCATTAAGACTCATCTGATGAGTGTTGTCATTGGAGCTTTACAGCACACTCAGCAGATGAGGCTGTGTGGCGCACCCTTCCCCCGTCCTTCCCCATGGCAAAATGGCAGGTCAGCTGCTCCGTGCGTCGGAAAGCTCCGATGGTAGCAACGTAAGCTATAAAAAACCCGATACGACACCTTGTTTTCATCCAACATGTAACTGCAAAGTAACGCATAAACCGAAAGCCGTACCCAGTGACATAAACATAGGGCAAACCCATGGCATCGTTGCAATCCTAGGGCAAATTTGAAGATTATTTAACAATAAAGTCCCTGTTACTGGCCACCTAATGCCTCTCCACCTTCAGCTATTGAAAGAGAAGTCCAAAGCAAACACAGTTCGCAGGGTACCTATTTCTAGAGTTATACTGTTTGTCTGACACATGACATTTGCCCCTGTTAGCCGCTCCATAGTTAAGCTTTTCGGACTTTCAATTCCCGGGATCAAGCCAAACTCTATATAAACTTGTGTTACGCAATCCCCTACACTTTCCGCCCTTTGAAAAATCTCAGATCCCATCCATTAAGTCAGGAAAACAAGAACGCCATACATTATAAACCGTTTATAATTCGCTAAGGAGCATCAATGTGAGCCGGGTTGGTCTTCCACCTACGTCTGTTTGAGCTTGTTCATTAGTTCACAGCCTGGGTGACACATTCCTACTTATACATGCATATATGAGCGTTGCTATCAGACTTACCGGCGACTCCCGCACGCGCTTAGTGTCGCCAACTCGCGCAGGCTCAGGGGAGCCGCCGAGCTGAGGTTTTGTGACCCCTGCTGAGGTTTTGTGACCCCTGCTGAGGTTTGTGACCCCTGCTGAGGTTTTGTGACTCTGCCAAGGTTTTGTGACCGCTGCCGAGGTTTTGTGACCCCGCTGAGGTTTTGTGACCGCTGATGGGGTTGTGTGACCCCTAATGAGGCTTTGTGACTGCCGAGGTTTTTGTGACCCCTGTTGAAGTTTTGTGACTCGTCTCTCGCCCCCCGTTTCGTCCCTGCAACAACGTCACGTAAATCGGGGGAAGGGCGTCAACATCCGCTTTTTCTAGGGGTTGGGGGGTTGGGTTCTCAACTGCAAACATATGTGAATGCATGCATACATGCCCTGCGGATGAATATTGCTGTTGTATCTGCCTCGGTTTATAAACTTCACTGAAGACTCACTGCTGTTGTTTCACCGTCACTACGCAGAATTAACGAATGCAAGTGTATTTCAAAATAATCAAATCGCCCCCCCCCCCCCTGAACGAGTTACGTACGCGCAATCGGCGGCCATCGGATGCAATTAGACAGCAACGACTTATTGTCCAAACTAATCAGAAATAACACGCGCATGTGCTCAGTTTACATACAGACTTGTTATCACGGCGGTAACCATAACTTTCGGACAGC